CCCACCCTCCAACAAAGGCTAGACGGGCACATATTGTCCCAGAGTGTTAAGTGGGGGCTTGACAGGTACAAGTTGCTCTAGAGTGCCGAGTCCCTGAGTGATAGACCTAATATGATGCACAAATATGTGGAGCCCCATTACTTCACACTCTCCAAAAGAGCCATTGAGAGGAGAAGGAAGGTTCCATCATATACGGAGAAGAAATGGTCAAAGTCTAGCCGAGCTGCGATTCCAACACCCCTCTCCAACGAAGGCTAGACATATTGTGCCAGTGTTAAGAGGGGTGTAGACGGGTGGAAATTGCCGAGGCCCCCAACGTGTCGAGTCCCTAATGTGATAGGCTGAATTCCATGCACAACTATGTGGAACCCCATTAGTTCACTCCCCAAAAGAGCTATTGAGGAGAGAAGGGAGGTTCCAACATATATGGAGTAGAAACGGTCCAAGTCTAGTCGATGTAGGATTCCAACAGATACAATGATATATAGATGTCAAGTATGTTTCTTATGTTACCTATCAGCTTACGATACTTTCCCTCCATTAAAACATATGACCAACCAAAAGAAGGTAAGTTATAAAAGACACCACAAATAGTAAAGAAACAAACAAATTATTCAAGAGATTTTATAGATCACTAGACAATCATTTGATATTGGAGTATTTTCATTCAAGATACCTACAGTAAAAGAGATTCATGCATTATTTCATTAAAGAACACCATCTTTGGAATGTTCATGATATTATTTGGAACAACAAACCCCATGCACTACAGACTTTGCCTATATCCACACTTTGTGGTTGGAATACTAACAGTGCTACTATGGAATTCAGTGGAAGCAACAGACATGTTCCTTCAGGACTTTGATCTATGCATACATATGGAATTAATTTTATGAAATCATATCATGGAAGGAGCCTGTGGAACACCAAAAAGAAAAATCTCCTGTTGATTCAGATTATATACAAGGAAAATACTATGTGCTAATGCTACATCCAGTATCAACAAGTTTAAAAAAATTCTCATTTCCAACTCAGCAATGCCCATTTCTATTGATAAAGTTCATAACTTGAAAGTAAAATCTATCAAAGACAAAGAGATTGCCCTTTAGATAACACTTGGAGAGCAGAATTTAAATGTTAGAAAATTGGTTAATTATCCTTCTATTTAAAAAAATTCTATAGTATAACCCTGGATGGCTGATGAGATAAATGATAGATCCATTATTTTGTTTCCTATTATGACTGAGGGGCTCTTTGGTTGGTTTTCCATTAAGTTCTATATGGATAATGTTGTTCTTGTGGATTAATCCGTCTGTGTGGATTAATTTGTCTGTATAGATTGTGGAAGTTTTTGTTTGGAAGAGTTTTTTAATAAACAGAAGAAGTGTGTTTTTAATTGGCAGGGGCATGTGATTACCAAATAAGTCATTCTAAAGTCACTTTCTATATCATTAAGCCACTACCAAGCAGTCATGTATAGTTGTAAGTCCCATTAACCTTAAGTCCCATTAACCTTTTCTATATCATTAAGCCACTACCAAGCAGTCATGTATAGCTGACCGAATAAGCTGTAAGTCCAGTTAACCTTATCAAGCTGCTAAGAGACATTACACAGGTAGGTGTTAGCACAGGGTCTAGAAAGTCGAAACAGCAGGATCAAAATTGTATAAAAGTAAAAAATATCTAAACATTTCAAATGAAAATAAAGATACTTAACACTACATGCATTTTGCACTTCAACTGTGCCATAAACAATTCAAAAATTAGTAGAATCATAGGGTTAGAAAATGAACAATGTACCTCCGAATCTGTTGCCCCAAAATAACACCCTTGTATCATCTTCTTCTTCATCGAACTCATCACCATATCCGAACTCAGCATCCCCTCTATAACCAGGTTCACTTCCATACCCTGATTCATTCCCTTGATTATCCAAATTCCCATGATGATGATGCAATCCCACGAAAGTGTTCTCTCTATCTCCACCACCATTGCTCTCTCTCCTCAAATTCTTAGCAGCTGCTTCACTTGCATCCGAAGCCCAATTTACATCCCCTCCACCTCCACCATTAACAAACAACTCCCCACTCGAATCCGTCCCGGCATTATTCGCCATCATAAAGTCCGAACAAGTACCATACGCATTCGAAGCACCAACTGAACAACACCTCCGCCGTGTCCCACTCCTATCACTACTCCGACCGGAAACAGACCTCGATCCACGTCTCCGCCGCTTCCGAGCCATCCAATGGATCTTCTCACGCTTCGATTTCACAGACGAGCGGGAACCATCGTCGTCAAACAATGACAGCTTCGACATGTCGAGGTTTTCTATGGAGAACGAGGTTGTACGATCGGAGAGGCAGGGGCGTTTATGAGGTTTAGAAGAAGTCGTATTACTGTTTTTGTTGTTATCGGATTTTTCTAGGGTTCTGTTGAGCGTGGTGGGGAGATGAAAAGGTCTCCAGCTATGGAGCTGGAAAGTGCAGGAATCAATGGCGTGACGGGAACCACCCAGGGTTCTTGATGACATTGATCAACAAGACGATGATTGCAGATCAAATTAGGGTTTTGGAATTAGGGGATTTCAATGGCGGAATACAAGTAGGAATTCGAATCAAATGAAAGCTTTACACATAGAAAAGCATCTCCATCTCCATCAATTTTGCACCAATTGAACCGAAAAGCCCCTAAAGTTTGCAACAATGAGCTTGGGTGCCCCTAAAGTTTGCAACAATGAGCACAAAAGCCCTTTAAGTTTTTAACAATTAGCTAAAAGGACCCTAAAGTTTGCACAAATGAGCAGAAAAGCACATTAAATCTAAAATTTACTAAATTGCCACAAATTTTACTATAAAAAATATGATTTACCGATTATCTAGAAAAACTGAAAAGGAAACAAAAATTGTAGACCAAAACAAAAGTTAGAGATTTTATGCAAATTTGATGGATAAAAAAATGTCTGAATACTTGTCATAAAACTGGTTCATCTAATTATAAAAACACTAAAAAAAAGTATAAATTTCAATCTGATGTTATTTATGTAATAAAACGATATACAAAGTTTAATGTTACTTTTGCAAAAATCTAAAAACTTAAATCAGATATTAATTACAAAACTTGTACAAAGAAAATCATCTATTACCCACCGAGCTAACTATCGTGCCACTTCCTTTTGTTGCATCCTGAATCTATAAAGCAATAAACGAATAAAAATCAATGCAATAGACCTATTAAGAAAAGTTCAATGGTTGGCTATTAAGGGTGCGTTTGGTGCGCAGACAGGATAGGACAGGACAGGACGGGACAGGACGGGACAGGACAGGACAGGACAGCTGTTCAGCGTTTGGTAAGACATAACAGGACAGGACAGAACTGGTTAAAATGACCAATTTACCCCCAATGAGCTGTTTAGTGTTTTTTTTCACTAAATAATCAATATAAATGTTCCACTATATTCATCAATACGCATCTATTCTACATAAAACAGTAAGCATTTTTATTTGAAAAGATAAATCAATTGAAGCTAAGCATTTAGCTGATTACATTGTTATGAAACAAATGAAACAGTAGGTCTTTCTTAACATGATAACTCAATCTTTTGTGGGACTGTTAGAACCAAATTGTTTACACATGATAACTCAATCTTTCTTAACAATGTGCGAGATTTCCTTATATTTGCTGCCTATTTGGATTCATGAGCCATTCAACAACCAGTGTTGGTATTAAATATTTGTGGGTCTGTTAGAACCAAACCAGATGGAAGCAACAATACAGAGGGATGTCGCCGTCGATGGGGGAGGAGACAGCCGATTAGCAAACAGCCAATTTAGGGTTCAAGCAAACAGCCAATTTAGGGTTCAAGCACACAAGAAATCGGTTCAAGCAATCAATTTCGGGTTCAAGCAAACAGCCGATTAGCAACAAAATCGAGATGAAGCAATCATGTACCTGAGTATGGAGAGAGGGATGTCGCCGTCGATGGGGGAGGAGAAGCGATGGAGGCGGACTTTGGCAGGTGCAGGGGCGCCGATTTCTGCAGGTGCAGGTGTAGGTGCAGGGGCGTCGATGGGGAGGAGAAGGGATGGAGCCGTCGAGAAGGGAACTTCCGTCGCCRTCGAGATGGAGAAGGAGATGGTGGAACACGCGTGTCCAGGAGATGGAGAAGGAGATGGAGGGTGCGATGTGGGGAAGAAAGGGGGAAGGGATAGTGTGGTAAAAATGATTCTGTTCCACTTAGTTCCAGGGGTAATGGTGGAACACATATGTCCCATGCTTGTCCAACTTAGTTCCACTTAGTTCCACATTTGGCCACACCAAACGTAGGACAAATGTGTTCTGTCCTGTCCTGTCTCACTCTGTCCAGCGTACCAAACGCACCCTAAAGAACTAAAGCTGAAGAGGTAAATGGTAACAATGCTAAACATCCTCAAATTCAATGAGAAGTTATTTGTTTACCTCTTAATCTATACTATCTTATTAAACAAATTTAGCAAAAGTCTTAAAATACTAAATGACCAAGATACCATTTATACTACCCTTGCATTACTTTTTTCACTTTTTCCCTTCCTTCTCTCCTCACATACACTCACCCCCTCACATACACTCACCCTCTCACAAATTTTTTTAAAATTTTAATTTTAATTTTACACTTTATACCCCTATAATTAATTAATTAATTTACTTTATGTTCTTTACTTTTAAATGTTTCATAATTTTTATCAAATTAACATACATAATCGTATATCAATTAAAACATGTTTAAAAAATATATTTTTATTTTAACAAGTTACACTATTATAATCGTCTCGTTAATACCTTCGAAATGAGTCCAATATTGAATAGTTTTTTACTTAATTATATTAATATATATTATATATACTGTGAAAAAATATTTTTAATATTTACGATTTATACTTTTATAGTTATTTGTTTATATATATACTATATATTTTGGGGTTAGGTTGTCCAAATTGCACTGTATAATATGTTCTGAATTAATATGTTCTTGGGTTTTTTTGAAATATATATATATATATATATATGTATTAATTCAACCTTAATCTGAGTTTCTGGACAAGAAAGAGGGTAAGCAGTTGAAATTTCATTCTAAAACCCATCTTTTTTGGTCTTTTCATGACTTATAATCTGTCAAATTTGTAGTTTTCTTTATTGGTTTTGAGTGTTTATCTTAAAACTCAAGTTTCTTGGTTCTTTGTTTTTGGTGTAAATCGAACACATTTGTGGAGTCGTTTAAATATGTTGGATTTTAAATATATTGGATTTTAAATTGTCATACATTTTTTTTCATCGATAGTCTGTAATTGGAACCATAACTCTTATTTATTCAAATTGTATTAATATTTAAAGACCAAGTATAACCTATATCATCGTTAAATCTTATCTTATAAAACCAGTGAAACTTCAAAATCGTTAATATTCATGGCTCCTGCCGTATTGCGCGGGTACACAACTTGTAGTTTTATTAATAGGCAGTCTCTGTATTGCTAAGAGGTGAATCTTGTTTGAAAAAAAAAAAATTATTTGTCTGTTAATGATTCTAACACCCTCTTAACGATTTTGTATCTTGGGCTTCCCTTAATCATTAATCACCCTAATTTTACTCTTAACAATTATATTTCATTTTGAATTACATCATAAGAGCCTATTAGTCATTATATACCAAACCAAGCAACAACTGTCAAACAACTCATAAGATTTGGAAAAGGGGAGGCTAAATTAGGCCATTTGAAATCAAGCATCAGTGATGTAAGAAATACATGTTTTTTTTATGTATCAAATAAAAATTTACATTGTAAATAGTAATGAGATATTTGAGCAAAATATTAGATATTAGTAGTCTTGATTGGTTTCATATGAAACTCGGTGTTTTTGCGAACCATATGTGAGAAGAAATTTCAAAGTTGGCTCAGATTATTGGAGAGGTTCAAATATGCCTCCGGCGTGATTCAAACTTGACCTTGTTGTGTATTTGACAAGGTTTTAAATCACGTGAGAAGTGGCGGTGAGATCAAGGCTTAAATCTTACGAATTACGATGTCATGACGTTTTTCAAGACATGCCTTAAAGCAACTATATATATAGGGGATCATTCAATAGATAACTGATTAGTTTGTGGTAACTGTGAGATCCAATCTCAACCACAAATCAACGGATAAATTAGAAATTTAATAATTATGGTAGTTTGAGTTAAAATTATAATTAAAGCGCATTTTATGTATTTTAAAAAACCTTCTCTCTTCTCTCTCATCTCTCCGACCTCGGGTGAACATTAATCCGGCAGGTACCAAATAATCACAAAAATACACAATGTGATACCATTGTGATACCAACTATGATACCAACTCAAACCTTAAAAACAAAGATACACAATGTGATACCCATTGTGATATACTGTGATACCGACTATGATACCAACTCAAAACCTTAAAAACAAAGATACACAATGTGATACCCATTGTGATATACTGTGATACCGATTTCACCGGAGGCCGGAGATTAGAAGTCGGAGAGATGAGAGAGGAGAGAGAAGAGAGAAGTTTTTTTAACCTAATATGCCGTCTAATTATAATTTTAACTCAAACTACCATAATTATTAATTTCCTAATTTATCCGTTGATTTTTGGTTGAAATTGGACCTCACAGTTACCACAAACTATTCAGCTCTCATTTGATTAGACCCCTATATATATATATATATATATATATATATATATATTTTTTTTTTTTTTTGAGATCATGTGAGACAAGATTATTTCCGTGAGACACGATTTTTACACTTGAAACTTTACAACAAAACACTGTGAATGTAACCTTCACAATGTTTTCGATGTGAAGATTCGGTTTTTTGTTACCTTCACAACATTTTGCTGTGAAGTTTCAAATGTAAAAATGTTCATGTCTCACGAAAACAACCTTGTCTTACGTGAACCCAACCCTATACACACATACATATATAGTGTCTTGAATAATAAAACAGAACAATTTAAATGCATATAAAGTAATAAAACTAAAAAAGAAAGCATAATCAGTGATACCAAACATATAGAGCTCATAGAAAACGATATCACGGTGTAAAATCAGAATTAAATCTTTTGAATTTCAACTCACTACTTTCTTCAATTTTCAAATAACTCGTGTATGAAAATGAGAGCAAGTATTTACTTATTTAGACTTTTAGTTGTTAAGTTTCATTTTTAGATTTATTTAAGTCTTTTTTCTCATATATAATTATCATTTATCCCTCAAGTTATATATTAGCAAAAACCCCACATCTAACACGTCGTAACGCATCATAACACGTCGTAGCGTGCCATAATAAGTTACAATGGAAGTCAAATCTTAGAGTAGAGCTACAAGAGTTAACGTGACGACGGACCCAAGTATTGACGCGATGACGATGTCATAACAAGTTATTTAGAACTACGGTATTTGAGCAAAGTTGCTCCAGCCTACGAACTGAGCTATACATTTTTGCAGTTGTCATCATGTTTATCAGTTAGCTTTTTCACCAATCGTAAGTAGTTTATCAACTAAAACTCTTCAATATAATATTATGTTTCAACCAACAACTTAATAGTTACTACATAAGAGGGATGTTCATTTAGAAACGTTAAATATTTTAAAAACCACCCGTTTTTTTTGTATTCATGATGAATAACAAAATAAAATATCTATAATTAATAATACTCATCATAATTTCTAAAAAGAGGTTCATGATTTCTTAAAATATTTAACGTTCTAAATCAACCTGGCTCTATTTTGGGGCTGTTTGCCAGTTGTTGAATGATTTGGTATATGATAATTAAGTGGTACTTATGATTAAAATGTTTTTGTAATGTAGTGCAAAATAAAATATAATTGTTTGATAATTGTTTACAATTAAATTAGAACGTTGAATGGTTAAGAGAGACTCATGATATAAAAGCATTTAGAAGGATTTTAGAATCATAACTAACAGACAGACTTTTTTTTGCCAAACAAAATTCGTCTCTTAACGATTCAAAAACTACGGGGCTGTTTGACAATTGCTGAATGGTTTGGTGCAGAATGATTAAGTGATCAGAATAATTAAGAGACTCTCATAATATAGTGCAAAATGAAATATAATTGTTTGGTAATTATGTACAATGAAATCAGGGCTCTTAATGAAATCAGGGCTCATTCAGATGGTTTTGGAACCATTAAGAGCCAGACTTTTTTCTTGCCAAACAAGATTTAACTTTTAAAAATTCAGATATTGTCTCTTAACGAAGCTATTAAAATGTAAACAAACAACCCCTACATCTTAATAAAACTACTGAGATAAACAAACAAACTCGATTTCAATTTTTAAAAGTTTCCAGAGGACACGATTGCGGTATCAGATTTGCTTTATCAGAGACGTCTGGTCCACTTAAGCGGTTGCCAATTGCCATAGAAAGCTAAACGCCAGGTAGCCATAGAAAGCTCAACGCCACGTAGCCATAGAAAGCTCAACGCCACGTAGCCATAACTTCCCTAAAAAATCGGTAAACATTCCGACAAAAATCAAATGGATAGAAAAAGGATTTTCAGAAATGGAGAGACAGATTCAGCCATAAATCGACAATAGCAGTAGCATGTCGATTACCGTTCGTCTTCTGTTTCTTCTTCTGGTGATCGGAAATGTAGGATTCTTCATTGCTAACGGTGTGGTTGATGAATATCAGAGAGATGATTTTCCGGCGGAATTTGTTTTTGGATCGGGAACTTCTGCTTATCAGGTATTATTTCTTGCTGTTGTTCGTTTGAATTGGATTGGAGGTAACTGTGTTGTGTGTGGAAACATTGAAGGTTGAAGGAGCAGTACTGGAAGATGGAAGGAGTTTCAGCATTTGGGACACCTTCGCTCATTCGGGTAATATAAGTATCATATTCGGGGGTGTTTGGGATTTGCTTATTTAACTTATTTCGATGTGCTACCGGTAATAATAATAAGGAGTTTTTAGTGTTTTGGTGGAGAAAAAAAGTAAATGCTTATATCGGTTTGCGGATTTTAATGAGTTACTTTCTTCCAACTTATTAACTTATTCCGGTATGATACCGATAAAAAGAAGTTTTAGTGTTTGGATGAGAAAAGAAAAGGGTATCTTTATCTATTTTATCAACTTATCCGTGTGGTATGTCATAAACTAATCCAATTTTTTTTTTATAAAATTCCAGTTTGCCATCTTATAAGTTGATAAATCCTCTTACAAAAAGTTTGTTTTAAATAAGCAATCCCAAACACCCCTTCATACCGCCTAAAAATTAGAAGATGATGGATTTGATTAAAATCTCATTTAAGGTTATATATCTAAAAAATTGCATTATTTTTCACTCGACCAATATTTTCTTTTTATTAATCCGGATATTCAACCCGCTGTACGAACCGACTAATCACACGACGACCTCCTGCTTTATGGGTAGCCCCAAGTCAACAAATTTGAACCTGCCACAAGGGAATTTTTATTCCCTCTTGGATTTTAACCTCGGATCTCTAAACCCTTTTGATATTTAGACTCCAATCTCAAACCAATGAGGGCACCATCCTTGAGGTTAACTCGAGCAATATTATTTTTGCCGTCAGAATTTCCGAGAACCGAGTTGGATTGATTTATATCTCCACCAATCACATGAATATATATTATCATAAAAAAATATGTACTTAAATAAAATAAATATATATATATATATATATAAACTTTGATGTTTCTTAATTTCATTGGTTTTACGAGGAGGAAAGGTGTGATTTTAAAACAAGAATTTTTTATCCAAGTTGGATATTTTCAAGCTATCTTCGATAAATTCTTTAAAAAATTGGAAAAAGGAAAACTACAGTTAACTCCAATACCTTCTTCATGCCAAAAATTGCAATATTGATTTTATTGTTAAAATATTTTATACATTTAATAAAATATTATTTTTCTCATTTAAAACATATAATTTGAAGATTTTCTATCAGTGATATTGTAATAAAAAATGTTTCTCTTCATTTTCTAAAATTTCTTCAAATTTAAATCTCCAAAATCTTTATTTTAGAGAATCTATTAGGGTTACTCTTAAACCATCTCGAACCCAACCAATTAAAAATCATATTTTCATAATAAAAAAACATATTTATTTATTATCATACTATTTTATTTTCTATGATTAATATATATATGATTACTTACACTAATTTCTATGCGTTTCACTCCCAACATTATCTTAAATGTAGAGAGTAACGGACCATTTACTAAATGTTGATAAGTGCTTAACGGATTAGTTTATCTTATCGGATGGCAAATATTGAGAATCTTACCCGGTAAGAGTGATAGCAAAGACCAAGTCTTACCCGATAAACGCCTACCGGATGAATTGTTGCATATGTTGTCGTTTTAATGGATTAAAATCTTACCTAGCAAATTAAGTTAAACTGTTGACTATTACCCAAACACACTTACCAGGTAACCGTTGGATAAACGTCTCCTAAAATTGGAGATGTTCTAAGGTGCATACTTTTATGAGGTGATCAAAGTTATTTGTTAGGGAAGTACTCAGGGCCAAGTGTTATTTTGTTTGGCTCGAAATCTCAGGCTACTACAATGGAGCAAATGGGGATGTAGCATGTGATGGGTACCATAAATACAAGGTACATATCATATAGATCTGCTACAGCAAAACTCACACACACACCTCATGGCTTGAACCACTGACCTCCAAGGAGGTTGGATCTACCGGTAACACGAGTACCGTTGAGCTAATGACCCTTTGCCACAACTGATATTCTTGTTGGTAGGTAATCTAATGGGGTTTCACATATTCTCACATACAACAGTGTAAGCCAAGCACGGCCTATGTTTTACACTAGAAGTAAGAACAGTAAGATACTAGAAATTTGAACTATTACTAGATAACAAGATCCAAAACCAAAAGGAACCCAAATATATCCCGCTCGAAAGTAGGGTCTTGTAGTGAGATGTACACTGACCTATTCTCTACTTCCAAAGACTAAATCATACTGCCAGTTGACTATGTGCAACTTTAATAGTTTGCTCGAGTTTGACTGCATTTGAATATTGCAGGAAGACATTCAACTTATGGCAGACACCGGTTTGGAAGCATTTAGATTTTCCATCTCTTGGTCGAGACTGATCCCAAGTACGTTCACTTAATTGTCTACAAAAAACCTGATCACTCTACGTGTTTTGCTTATGCATAGTCTTGTTATCTTGCAGATGGAAGCGGATCTGTCAATGCAAAGGGCTTACAATACTACAACAATTTCATCAACGAGCTTCTCAGCCATGGTTAGTTATAACTAGGTTTCCTGGTTAGCTTAGCTAGTACTGTGTGGTTGTCATTAATTTTGTACATAAAAACGCAATGTCTTGATTGTCATCAAGAACAAAACCGAACCAAACCAAACCAAACGAGCTTGGTTAGGATGAATGCAAATCTGACCTTTGCACGAGAGAGTAGATGAGGTGAAAATTGATGAAATTGAAAAAGGAACAGTTTGAAACAAGGAAAGAAGATTAAAGCAAGAGCTGAAAATTGAAAAGAATACTAAGGAGCCGTTTATCAAACGCTAACTAGGCAATAATGACCATCGTCAATTACCTTACAGAGTAAGATTCTCGGCCATCGTAATTGCATAGTAAATTGTTGTAAGCATAAGCGCTAACCAGGTAAAAGTCACTACTATCACTTACCTTGCAAGATTCTCGGTCCTTGTCATGTCTCTTACCAGATAAGATTCTCAGCCCTTGTCATGCTCACCCAATAAAATAAGTGAGCTGGTAAGCGCTTACAAATGAGCATTTGGTAAAAAGCCCTTAAGCAACACCATATAATCTTTGTCTAAATAACCAAGCCATGCCTCAAAAAGCTTAAATGCAAACTCTGACTGATTTTGGCAATGCTAATTATGCAGGAATACAACCACATGTTACATTGTTTCATGATGATCTACCACAGATACTCGAAGATGAATATGGAGGATGGATTAGCAGAAAAGCAGTGTACATTTCTAACTAAAACTCTGGTTCCATATGAACACCTGTGATGCGAATAATGTGTGTTTAATGGTGCATTTGGTATGTAGACATGTGTAAGTAGGGGAAGGCAGGTGAAAAATTGTGCAATGTTTTATGGTTTTAGTTTGACATGGGTAGTTTAGTAATTTATTCCACCTATTTCCATGGCACAAAAAATGCATTCTTGTTAAGAGTCCCACATTGATTAGACTTGGATCATTTCTTATTTATATATGTTGGAACCTCTCTTTTTTGCCCAAGGGCTCTTTTAGACAGTAAATTTAGGGATTCCACGTATTCTCACGATTTTTGTTCCACTAATTCTGGTCCTACACCAAAACATGGGACAACAAGTTTTTGTACAAGGCCCGCAAAATTTTGGGGGGCCCATTTTACTTATGTTTGCGAACAAAAAGCAAAAACGATACCTTACTATTCTTCTCACTTTGTCGTTTTAAACATTTTTGTTGTTTTAGTTTATAAGATTTTTAATATGGCACGAACTTTTATACTTTATGTCGTTTATTACTCTTTTTAGACGATCTATATTTTGGTACGAGTGTAACAGAGCCTCCATAAACATTGAGACGGCCCAGAAATTCAAAAATGGCTTACTTTTTATAAATGCAGGAAAGACTACCTCGCATACGTTGACATTTGCTTCCGAGAGTTTGGTGATAGGATTTTGCACTGGACTACTTTCAATGAAGCCAATGTATTTAGTTTGGGTGGTTATGATGTGGGTTTCACGCCTCCTGGCCGTTGTTCTTCCCCGTTCGGGTTCGGTAACTGCACCAACGGCGGTAACTCTTCATACGAGCCATACCTTGTAACTCACCATTTGCTGCTGGCTCATGCATCGGCTGTAAGATTGTACCGGAAAAAATACAAGGTATGTTGGTCCCTTTCCATGACTTACAATTGAAGTCGAAAGGTTTTAGTGTCATTTTGGAATTTACTTATTGTAGTCAGAGTTAGACCAATAAAATTTTTCAATCGAGAAAAGTAGTTGAATGTATATAATTATATAAAGCTAATTAACTTGACTAACTCCATTGACCAATCAGAGGCTGCCATGTGGCACTAAAATTTTCAAAACAAGATTCATACCGGTTCACTTGAAAGTTTCCATAACAGACCAGTCCCAAATTAGTCCCAACCGGTTCGGTCCCCTTAGCTAGTCCCACTTGCCCTTATCTAACTCTGACTATCTGTACTAACTGACCTTCAATCCTTAGCATAACAACTAACAAACTATAAACAAAACCGAATGAGTCCAACATACACCCCCCAGATGGGATGTACGTAGGCCTAACCTCTACCCAAAGAGTAGAGAGGTTGTAAAATCCGTGACTTGTGGAAAATGTGCAAAATAAAGAAAAAGTTTCCCCATTAGAAATAGAGGAAATAGCATTAGTACAAACTACTTACACTGTATGTATATATATATATATATATATATATATATATATATATATATATATATATATATATACATACATATAAAGGTGGTTTAATTTACACACCCAACCATTAGTATAAACCATACAAACTAATCTCATTCGTTCATCTAGTATTCTAGTCTAATGAATATTGTTTTCAATAAATATCTCAATTGTTTCTTAATATAAAACTTTGATCATAATAAATGAACTATGGTAATCTTCCATAAATATTCAAATCATAATAAATAAACTAACATTATTTCTATAAATATCTCAATTAATTGGTTTGTATGGTTTGTGCTAATGGTTGAGTTTGTAAAAGATCTCTCTCTCTCTCTCTATATATATATATAGAGAGAGAGAGAGAAGGCGGTCAACTTATGGCAAGTGCTAGAAGGGCCAAATCACGTAGTTCTAGAGTAAAATCACATGCGATGCATACACTTCCGCGATCTTGACTCAACGTGCGTGTATCACATGTGATTTGGCCCTTCTGGCACTTTTCATAAGTTGACTGTCTTTCGTTTTCTCGTTTGGACCAACCCCCTCTCTATATATATACTAGAATTTCAGAAATGTCCTCTTAACAGATTAAGCCATCTGTTTTTACCCTTTTCTTCAAAAAAAACATTCACTGTTTTCACTACTAGTTTACATAATGATATTGGTGATGATGCAGGGCAGGCAACATGGTTTTGTTGGAATAAATGTGTTTGCCTATTGGTTTGAACCTTATACAAATACAATGGAAGATTTGAAGGCTACCCAAAGAGCACATGACTTCTACCTGGGCTGGTGAGTCATCAGAAATGCTACATAAGATTTAACCAAAATCTATTATTTTAAACCCTGGGTCATATTGTTATTGGTTCTATATATAAACTGTATCATCTTTATATCAAACTTTCACTTTATTTTACCAAAGCATAATTGGCCCAACAATACCCAGGTTACCTGTAGACTCCAATCTTTCAAGAGGTCAAGGGTTCAAACCTCACCAACCGTGGGGAGTGTGCGGGAGTACTTTCCATATATATACACACACACACACACATAGGCAGATGTTCAAACAAGAACATGTTCATTTTATGAAAACGCGAGAACACCCTTATCATATGTGATAATACACACGAGGAGATCTGGTGGTTTGAGGACAATTGTCCCCCGCCAATGGTTGTCCACGGCTCTGATTTAGTACCACAAGTGATGGATTATAGAATCACGTCGAGAACACCCTTATCACATTTGAGAATACACAGGGGGCCTAGTGGTATGCGTGCGCCTTGTTTTTCGGACCAAAGGTCGCCCGTGTCTCTAATTTAGTATCACATGTGTCATATCTGCGACTATAGTATCACATGTGATTAACTATATAAAAGGGTGTTCTTGCGTTTTCGCGAAATGAAGTTGTTCTTCTTTATATATATGGTAGTTAAAAAAAGAAGGCGGTCAATTTGTGGGAAGGTGAGAAGTTCCAAGATCAAACATGATTAAATGTGATTCGAACACATACTTTATATATGATTAAACACGTCCAAAAGGGGAGCAAACGACTTAGTGAACGCGACCAAGGGTCGCGGAGAAGGTTGCCCACTATATGCTGGTCAACCCGACATGTGTTCAATCATAGTCTTGGAACTGCTCACCTTCTCGTAAGTGACCAACTTTTCGCATAATCCYCCCCCCCCCCCTTTCTCTCTCTCTCTCTCTCTAAAGAAATTCACTTCAATTTTCATCTAATGTTTCCGACTTCAGGTTTTTGAATCCCTTGGTGAACGGGGACTACCCAGAAACTGTGAAGAAAAACGCAGGCAACCGAATTCCATCTTTTACAAAACTAGAATCGGAGAGAATCAAGGGTTCATTCGACTTCTTTGGCATAAACCATTACACCACATTACAAGTCAAGGACAATCCTAGTAGTCTTGAAAACGACATCAGGGACTTTATGGCAGACATGGCAGTAACGCTTATATGTACGTCTTCATTATATGATACTACTAGTGTGTTTCGTACTCATGACAAAACCAGATAGGACATGACAAAAACTTGTTGTCCCATGTTTGGCATGACATTTAGACCTTTTTTGTCTCACCAAAATAGGTGGAACAAAAGTCAGAGAGACGAGGGGAAGTTTGGTAAATTTTTAAACTACACATGTCAAATAAAAACCCTAAAACCTAAACCAATTCTTTTACCTGCCTACCTCGCTCTTGCCAGTCCAGTCTCGTCTACATACCAAACACACCCTAAGAAAACGACCTATAACGTTGATGATACATTTCTTTATTTTGGAATGCAGTTAGCGGAACTGAAATCCCGCCAACTCAGGTTTGAACGTTCGATCATTTGTTGTTACTCTAATTCTTATCGTCCAAAAGTACGGAATTTCTCATTTTCGTTTATGTTTTCATCTCAGTTCCTAGTGGAACCATTGGGTCTACAGAATCTCCTTAACTATCTGAAGGAAGAATACGGAAATCCTCCTATCTACATTCACGAAAACGGTATATAGATGGAACTACTTGCTTATACCATTTTCCCTTTGTTAATGTGCCTTGGATAATCCATGTCTCAGGGTCAATGAAACTGATGAGCACATTGAACTATCCATGTCGCTGAGAGCCCTCACAGCCCGGATACAACGACACAATTATATGGGGCGTGCTCTACCCACTAAACTAATCGCCGGCCGTGTGAACTCCCCCACTGGGGCTGCCACTATGCCAAAAGCGAGAGAAATCCCATCCCTCTTCCCTTTTTTCGCCCGTCTTAGGGCCTTTGTCTATGCAACTATTTATTTGAAATGGAGTATAGAAATTTTGAGTATATAATAGTTATCTATGGCAAATACTCACACACACTCCTCGTCTTTGGTAAGTCTTTGGTAATATTTGAACCCTTGACCTCTGATTGTATGATATCAATATAACCTGTTTTGACAGGCCAAGTACAACCGCGTAATGGAACATTGATCGACACACCGAGAGTAGAGTATTTGCGTGCCTATACCGGTGCTTTGTTGGATGCATTGAGGTACGCATAACTACGGAAATTAGGAAGTTTATTTAATAGCATCTCCAACAGATCCTCCAAAATGAAAAATATGGAGATCTTGGGCTAATTTTATGTTCCAACAGATTCTCCAAAATAGAAAAAGTAAACGTTTAGAAAAAAAAAAGAAATAATATTTTATGAAATTCATATAATATTTTTAATTATATAATTAATGTTGTACTCTTCAACATGGAGAAACTGTTGGAGATGAATGCAATTCTTTTTAGAGATTTTAAGTTATGATTCTCCATTTTGGATAAATTTTTTTGAATCCGTTGGAGATATCCTCATGATGCTCGTCTTCTTGTTTCTACCTGTTATATTTCTCGATTGTCTGATATATTACCTATCCGTATGGTCTGTACACTACCCGTTATATTACCCATCTTCACGGAAACAACCTCTATAATATCCTCATGGTAACGTCTGCGTACATACTACCCCTCTCGGACCCCTACTTTTCAGTTGAATTCACCGGGTTCGTTTGGTTTTGGTTTGTTCAGGCTTCTTGTTTCTCAGGATATGCAATCTTTGTACAGGAACGGATCGAACACGAGGGGTTATTTTGTGTGGTCTTTTCTCGATCTCTTTGAGCTAATGGATGGCTATAAATCTGGTTACGGTCTGTACTACGTTGACCTGAACGACAAGGAGTTGACTCGATATCCGAAGCTCTCTGCACACTGGTACACCAGTTTTTTGAAAGGACAGAACATCAGCCAAGATGACATTTTTCTGAAATTGGATGCAAAAGACTCTTCATCTTCTTCACATTAGCTTTTGCCTTCCATAATATTGTGATCATTCTTCATACTCAAAAAACCAATTATTTATAATTGGTATCAAATTATATTTTGCATCTTTCTTTAATGCTACCTATTTGTTTTTTGGGTAACGGTGGGTATTTGGGCTAACTTACACGCAACCAACTAATCCCCGGGGACCACGAATGGTTTGGAGTCATCGCCGGTGAACCTTCATGGTCACAAGGGCTTTGGCAATGCCTAGATTCGAACCGCGGGAAGATGAGAGTTTTCACTACATCCCCTGAGTTTTGGTTTGTAGGAATTGGAATAGAACTGAATTCCGTTTTTTATGGAAATTTATAAAAACACATTATAAATAGTTATTAAAATAATTAAATTACTTTTTATTAGTTGATTATTACAAAACGAATATTTTTGACATTTTAAAACACTAAATACCATCTTATGGTATTTCTAAATCCAACTCCAGATTGAAGTTTTGAGTAAATGCTATGAAACTTGATCAACTTGATGAAACTTGTAAGATTCTCAATCATTACGGTCAGGGATGGACCTACTTTGGTGGTTACGACGGCATGTGTCACCGTATTATTCCTTTGTCGAAGGGTAAAAAAATTTAGTTTCGTGAAAAGTGTAACTGTATTAATCTGTTGTGTGCTACTGAATGTATTTTGAAACTACAATGAGAACAAGTTTTATTTAGTAGAATTGGTTTGCAAGGCTTTTATTCCACCGCAAATCCAAGTTCGAATAGTGTTAGTGTCATTTTCTTAGTTGAATGGTGCCACCGATTGAAAAAAAATATGTATATTTATTTCTTATAGTCAAACGGTGCCAGCGTTTAGAATTTTTTTCTCTATAGTTTTTTCTTATAGTTAATTGAATGGTGCCATCGTTTGAAAAAGTTTCCAAGTCCATCCCTGATTACTGTTATATAATACTTTCATGTTATATAATACTTTCTCTATTCCAAAATAAATGTCCATAATGAAAAACACACTTTTTAATCAACTAAAAGACGATTTTACCCTGGGTAATGAATTGTTACCAAACAAGGACAAAATACTAATTTAGGGTTTGTTTACCCAGATGCATATCTGGTAAGTGCCTATCTGGTAAGTGCTTAACTGTATAAGTCAACACAATAATTTGTTTTGATGCATAAGATTTTAGTACATCAAAACGTATCGAATGCAACAATTTACCGGGTAAACGCTTACCTGGATACGACTCGTCATCTTCACTTACCAGGTAAGACTCTCCATTCTTCTCATTATTCTTACCGGGTAAGATTCTTGGCCTTTGTCATGCTCATCCGATGAGGAAATTTATCCGGTAAGCACTTACCAAGTAAGCATTTAGTAAACCGCCATTACTCCATTGGAGCTCTCTCACCTCTCTCGCTTGAAATGAGTTGTTTTCTTATTTCGTTTCGTTTTTTTTTTTCTGCTTTGAAATGATTGTAGTTGAGTTTTCAATTTTCTTGTTGATTTTCATCATGAATTGGGGTCTACCACATTTCACAGTTGAAGGATTTGGACACACAAGTTTAGGAGAAAGATATTTTGGTTGGAGGAATTTCTTGCTTTTGCCTTCTTACCATGGATTTGGATGGAATTTTCGATTTGGGTTTGGTTCGGGATGGTTCGATGAGTGTAATGGGGGAACTAGACGGTTCGACGAGTGTGGTGAAGTTTGTCGAAAATGGAGGCTAGAGTGAGGGCCGGAGATGGAAGCCCAAAAATGTGTGGGTTCGCCGGAGGTTCACTCATCAACTATTTTATGTTTTCAAGACGGTGTATGTTAGAAAGGCTAATCCTGCATTCTGTAGATGCAATAAATTGCTTAAACTTACAGAATAATTTCAATATTCAATACATCATGTTCTTTTATATAGTTATATTTCGATAAGTTCACCTTATAGTTTTTTCTTGTTTGAAAATTATAATACTGTGATATTTTTAATGCTTACAGATACCGTTGATCTTTCAAAGAATAGGATGAAGACTGAAGTTGTCAAAACAAAGTCCTCAAATTCTTTTGAGATTTAAAGATGAACTATTTCTTCAAAAAGAAACCCTTGTTTGGTGGATGATTGTTATAGGTTCCAACCTTCGTATTTCTCATTTAGTTATCAAAATATCATTTTACTTGCAAACAATGCCATAATTTAAATGGTAGAACATTTTATAAATAACTAATTAATTTTTTATTTACAAGTTTTATATTTAGTTGCATTGCAGCAGTTGCAAAACTAGTAAACTATAAATATATATTTTAAAATTACGATTTTCATCTCTATATTTTATAATTCAACGTAGTTTTCATCTTTATGATTTAAAATTTGTTATGGTTTTCGTTTTTATGGTTACAATTCATTGCTATTTTAATCCATGATGCTTAAAGTTAGGAGTTAGACTCGGACACAAAAATAACAATAAATCGTAAACTTCAGGGATGAAAAAGTAAAATTCCAAAATTACAAGGACAAAAACCACAATTTGAAAATCACAGGGACTAAAACCGTAATTTACTCTTTTCTTAATTTCATGCAGACCGAAAAACACGTTCTACTCTATAAAACACATCTCCTAAAAACCCTCTTCACCATCCCATCTTCCCTCTTCCATTTTATCTCCTCAACCATCTCCTCCACCCCCCAAAACACTTGAAACAACCACCAAAAAACGAGTCGACAACCATCGCCGGAGACCGGCAACATGACTTACAACGTTACTAGAACGAGATCTCAAAAGAAACCATCCACGGCAGGTGGCGGTGTCCGGTCGCTGGCTACCGCCATTGCTGTCCCTGTGGCTCTGACCCTAGCCGACATTATGTGGTACGGAGGTGGCCAGGCTTACAAGGACCTAGACCTACCATTCTGGATGCCATCGTTGTGGGTTCTACACCTAACTTGCTTGTCCACGGCTTTCGTCATGGGGTTATCGGCTTGGCTCGTGTGGGCCGAGAGTGGATTTCATCGGACACCCTCGGCTATAGTAATGTACTTGGCTCAACTTGGATTCAGCTTGGCTTGGAATCCGATCTTTTTCAAGATGGATGCTATTCGGGTGGCGTTAGCAGTGAATTTGGCACAGATGGCCACTATTTTCTCGTGTTCTCATATGTTCGGCCGGTTAAATCCGATAGCCGGCGACCTTGTGAAGCTTTGTTTGGTGTGGACCGGCTATTTAACGGTTGTAAATCTATATTTTGTACTTTAGGGTAAAGGATTCAACATCTATAATATACGTAATGTAGATTTTGTATACAATTCTATCGAAAAAGGGTATAATTGACCTTAAACGAGGGTTTCAATTAGAGGCATTACCTTCTAAATGTTTTCTGGTCGATGACCTTCATCTGACCCGTTTAGGGATGTTCATAGAGACCGCCCACACTGTACCGCAAAACGCAGTTTAGAACTTCTGCTATGCGATTTACAGTTTGCATTTTTACACCAAAAGGCACTATAATAATTAGGCTACTTTATATAATATTTTTAGTTTTCTCAAATTATTTTTAATTATGTAATATTTTTATTTTTTTTGGACTATTTTTAATTATGTAACATTTTTATTTTTCTTAGATTATTTTTAATTATGTAATATGTATTTGAGAATCGGATATATTTAAACTTTTGATTTGTATAGACTAAGGTCACGTTATCATTGAATCTACAATAAAGTTTTAATCTTGTAATTATTGGATTGTAAGTGTAAAGTGCGTTAAGTACAAACCGCAACACAATATGGCTTTTTGCGGTTTGGGTAAATGCTTAAACCGCATATGCGGTGCGATTTGCGGTTTGGGACCACACCGCAAACACCCCTAGCGGCTGGTGCAAACCATCATGCTCCCCAAGAAAACGTAGAAATACGCAAAAGGGTTAGATTCTTAAATTCAGTTTTCAAAAACGTCATTTAGCTAAATAGCCTGCTTTTTAGAATACATACCAGATGAAGAGTACAAGCTGGAAATGCAGTGGGTACTAGTCACTACTGCAGAGCTTTCTCAATGTAATGGATGTTCTTCTTTTCTGATCGATTTCGAGGCCATCCCATTTCTGGAAACCGGGTTTCCGATTGATTTCATGCTTCCATTGATATCGGGCTTCACCTGATATTAGGAGTAAAGAGCCTGGTGTCAAGTAGACAGGGATCTTGATTTTGGCCTCGATTGGTTTTCCATTAGTAGCAACTCCATTTTCGACTCGGCTGAAATGCATCACACAGGATGATTCTAGGGAGACTAGGGCTATTCCATCTTCGAATCGCATCAGGTCAACGTGTGCACAAATTCCCTGCAAATGAACCCCAGAAAAGAAATTGGAATCGGAAATTTAGTGGGTTCTTGATTAGTCGATAAGAAACTTATCCATGACCATGATTATGTGCCAGATAGGATCTCATTCAAAGGGTTGGGTTCCGGTGAAAATGACAGTTATGGTGAGAAGGGTAAGAAGAGATCTCCACCTTTAGATCAATCCTAACTGAAGAGAACCACTAGATCAATTCCCTTCTAAATCTCTTCTTACACTTCTTATCTTAACTCCTACTCTCACATGACCCTTCGACCAATAGATGACAGGCAGGATTACGGGCAATAAGAAAGATGATTTCGCACCTCACCTGGCTGGTATGAGTTAACAATGAGTTGATTAAAGAGCGGCACCCTGTGAAGTAGCTCCGATGGGAATATGCATTCTTGTTTATCAATTTGGCAAGTATTTGTGTCCATGGATTCAGGATCGTAATCACTATAACGAATAAGTTCTAACACACATGTCGAAAGCTCCTTTGCCCATGCTGGAAGATCACCAAACCTCATAGCCTGCAATGGCAGTATAACACAGAATTATGAAATAACAAAACTAAGGGCATGTTTTTTAGCAGCTTAATGAGCTTCATGGAACTCACAGCTTGTTTGTTAGTAGCTAAATGAGCTAAATGGGACACACAACTTTGGTCACCTATAGTCCTATATATAACTGTTTGATAGTGGCTTACTGGTATAGAAAGTGACTAATCAAAAACACACTCCATCCATCTGTGAAAAACTCTCCCAAACAAAAATCTTTCCAATCCATTCAAATTAATCCACAAAGGACATCTTTATCCATACAGGACTTAATGGATAACCAACCAAACAGCCCCTAAAGCTCATTAGTCCACCTTACCAAGGACAAAGACAGGCTCATCTCGATAGAGACCAACTTGATTTACTCATTTTGAAACAAGAAAAGGAACACAATATCACTGAATTTTGAATACAGTTGATAAATAGCAAATTACTCATCGGATAGTCACAATTGAAAAGCTCCCATTTGTTCTTTAGTTGGATGCATTTGGTATGCAGACAGTATTGGATGAAACTGAACTGGACATATGACTATATGAGAGTGAGGTCGGTAATTTAATAATTTACTAATCTTGTTTCATCTCCATGATTTTTGTTCCACCTTTTTTCGTGTGTCCTACTCAATCTCGTCCTGTCCCAATCCAATGTTGTCTCAAACGTAGGACAAGTTTTTGTTCGATACTGTCCCGTTGGACATACATATAAACTGCCACAAATGAGATATCCATGACAACAAGAATTATAGCATTTATTTATCGTTGTAAATATAACTTAATAACACAAACAACACAAATCGTGTTCTAATTGCCAAACCTGATTGTGAGCGGCATCATTGAACCATCCTTCTGCAGCCATAAGTCACAGAAGAACAAATAAGTTAAAGCAATGACACTTCCCATACTCATAAAATAGAATGCATTCAAGAAGACATACATAAGTACATACAACCTACAAGTCTACAAACTATAACAACTCATGGGAAATGAGAAATAACGTCAAAACTGCTTGCTTCAATATCATCTATGAAGTTGTTCTCATAAGTCATATCAAGCTGTTTGGTTGATTTTCCATTAAGCCCTCTATGGATAAAGCTATTTGTGTGAATTAATTTGTCTGTATAGATTGGAAAGGTTTTTGTTTGGGAGCGGCTTTTCATAGATGGAAGCAGCATTTTTTTAATTGGGAGGGACAGATTTGTAAAAAACTTGGATTTCTGCATAAGCTCTCCATAGAATCTTACCGAATAAGCCACTTTATATATCATTAAGCCATCATCAAACCGCATTGCTGCATGCCTGAATAAGCTACGAGTCCATTAATCTCATTAAGCTGCTAACAAACAAGCTCTTACAGAAAGTATAGTTCGTGGACCTAATTTGCTACAAGTTTCGTGTTCAAATCTGCCTGGGTGTCATCATGAAATGATGTCAAACTGGTAACTTTCAGTTCAAATGTAACATCGATCTTACATTCTCACGAAAACGACACGTAACCACATTGAAACTTACACTACCATCATGGGCATAAATATTGGCGTAAATTTTGCATTAGGATTCATAATTTTTACTTCTGAAAATAAGTATTATGTTTTCAATTTCGAAATGAACTCAGCTTTCAAAACCGATGAAGTAATCCTCCAATTTGAAGCTAAGAATAACGATTGATTATCATTCGATAAATTAAATCGTAATCACTCTAACAGCAGCGTTATTGTATTTGTAACTGAGAAACAGCAGAATCAACGAGATAGAGATAAGAAGATTACCTCGTAGGATTGATGCTAGCAACGTTGATTGTTGATCAGAAGTTAAAAAATCCCTACATAAGCTTAATCCCTTGATTTCACTGATTTGCTCCCATTTAGGGTTCTCTCCAAATACTAATTGAGCTTCTTTCCGGACTTGGAGCTTTTGTCGACGATCATCATCGTCGCTATCTTCCGACGAATTTCCAAATGCTTCGTGAATAAGGTTCTTGTATTCGTCCATTTCGAAGGAGCTTCGTCTCTAGGGTTTGAGAGTTAGACCCGAGAGAATCGCAGAGAATTTGGACCCAAATTTCTATTGATGCCCCTATACTTTAATCTTCCACCATCTCAAATTTCATCAAAAATCAAATAGTAACGTTTTTTAATTTGATTTTTATTTTGGGTTACATATTTTTAAAACTTTAATTAAAACTAACGTTCTTTGACTTAAATGTTGAAACTTTACATCTTAGGTATCAAAATGAAAGTTTTAAAAGTACGTTATTCAAAATATGAATCAAGTTAAAATACGTTACTTTTTCAAATAATTTGTCTTACATATTAAATAAAAATATTTATATTTATTTAAAAAAATATTAAATTATGAGACATTATGAAATTGAATTATCGAATAACTTTTTAAATAAATACAAACTTTTTATTTAATAAATACATTAATTTAAGAAATTTGATTTATGATTAGATATATAAAATATTGTTAATAATGATTTTAAAAAGAAAAAAAGATGTGAAGCACAATTAACTTTAGAGAGATCGAATTACACCTTTGGTCCATGTAACTTGTCCAGATATTGATTTTTCCGTCATAGTGGTTCCTAATTGACACTGTTAGCTTCAGGGACAGTAAGTGTAATAAATTAAAAAGTTAAGGACCATTATTGTAAGTAACTCATTTTAGGGATCAAATTTAAATTTTGGGCAAACCACGGGTACCACTAATGTAACTACGCTAAAAGAACAAATGACGTCGTTGGTAGAAAATCCTCATTTAAAAATGTAAAAATTAAGAAGAAAAAGTGAAAATTGACAGAAAAGGACACGGTGGTTTTAATAATTCACCATGTCGAGATAATGGCACACGTCGTACCGTTTTCGATTAAATTAACGATACGAGTAATTATTTAATAAGAGAGATAAGACCAACAATATTACCTGTTAAGTGGTGGCGATGATTTTTATCATAGTAAGGGTTTACCCGATAAATTATTATTTATGGTGCTGTTTTGATGGACTAAAATCTTACCCGGTAAGAAAATGATAGTGTTAAATTTTACCGAAAAACGCTTAACTGGGTAAGCGTCTACCAAAATCACATTACCTTACCGGATGAATATGGTAAGAACCAAGAATATTACCTGATAAGAGCAAGACAATGACCAAGAATTTTACCCGGTAAATGAGTGCAACAACTCTTACCACGGTAAATGTTTACAGGTAAATTGTTGTATATAAAGTTGTGTTGATGGACTAAAATCTTACCCTGTAAGTAAATAATAGTGTTAAATTTTACTGGGAAACATTTACCGGGTAAGTGTTTGGTAAACGACCTCTTAATTCAATTTTGTCGTTATTTCATGTGATTCATTTGTAGTAATGTTTTAAGATGTGTTAGAAATATTTGTTTTGTTTATAATTTTTTAATAGACAAATTGCATAAAAAAATAATGTACTTTAACTTGATTTTTATTTTAGATAGCATGCTCTCAAAACTTTTATTTTGGAACCTAATATGTAAAGTTTTAAACATTTAAATACTCGGATAACCATCAATCGGTTACCATGCTATGAGATGTCTATCTTATATTTGATTATGTTTAGCTATAATTAGTTACACAATTTCAAAAATAAAGTTTAGTAAATTTACTTACATATAATTTATTTAGAATTTTGAATTTTAAATAATATACATTAATAAACATTACTTTACGTATTTAAATTAAATATTTTATAATACAATATAAATATATAATTTTAATAATATTTTATATTATTTAAATATATTATATAGTAAGTGGAATGAAAAAGATGTGAGGAGTAGCTAACATAGAAGAGCGTGCCGTTACAAAGTTTCAATGGGCATCCGATTTTTATTCTCCCCTGTCCCCACCCCTTCTTTTAATTGCTAGTTGTGTGTACGTACAATGTGGTAAAAGTCGTAAATTTTAATGATTTTGAAGTTTCACTGATTTTATTAGAGAAGATGAAAAACATAAAAAGAGATTTGTATCTTTAATTATATTTCATCTTAAAATGATATATGAATCATGTATTTGATACAAAGATTGATCTGGCATATTTGTATTTCATGGTGGAGATTATTTCTTATGTTTATCACTTTAACTCTCTTGTTTACTGTAACTCAACTCTTTAAGCTTAAAGGTATGTTTGTTAGCAAATTAATAAAATGAGACTCGTAGTTTATTTGTTCAATAAGTTTCTAAGAGAGTTTTATGCATAAAGACAAAAAATTCAAACTTAACTCTCCCCAGTTGAAAAAAACTTTTTCCACATTAAAAAATCCTCCAAAACAAAAACATTTACAACTTATATAAACAAATTAATACACATATGCATCTTTATCTATACAGTAGTTTATAGAAAACTGACCAAACAATCCTTAAGGGGTTGTTTTGTGGGTATCTATTAAGTTTTTTCAGAATTAGTAAAGATGTTTGTGTGAATTAATCTGCTTTTATAAATTGAAATGTTTTTGTTTTAGAGAGTTTTTTTTATATATGAAATGAGTGTGTTTTTTAACTGTGAGAACTATGTATGGGAAAAAACTTGACTTTCTATATAAAGTTATCCTTAAAATCTACTGAATAAGTCATTTTTTATATCATTAAGCCTTTGACATATATATATATACACACACACACATTGATGGAACTGTGTCTCATCAAGTTTATTAAGCTATTAATAAACATGACTCTATTGGATAAAGTTTTTACAATTTTTTAAATTGTGAATTTAATCTCGTGGTTTTATTTTTGTTTATTTTTTTTATTTTCACTAACAACTTTTAGAAGCCGTTTAACAAATGTTTACTCGGGTAAGTGTTTATCAAATCATATATACATGTATACGTATATGCATATGTCTATAAAATTGTAATAGATAGTTTTTTTAACAGGGGACATACAAAAAAAGGGTAAAAGGAACAAAAATGCCTCTCGACTAACAATACTTTAACTGATCATATCAAGACAAAAGCCTTTTTTTTCCATACCTAAATACATAGTGTAGTAACAATTTTTATACTTTTCACGTTAAATGACATATTCCCGTATATATGTAAACTAAAATTGTAGTTTACTTCAAAAGTACCAGGAGGTCCCAGGTTCAAAACCAAAAAGGAATAAAAATCCCTCTTGTGGCCATGGAGGTTCAATTACGGTGACTCCAGTATATCAGCAAAGCAGATGGTCGCCCTGAGATTAGTCGGCTCGCATAGCAGGTTGGATATCCAGGTTAATAAAAAAAATTGTAGTTTACTAAAATGGCGTTTGGTTCATTTGGAATTTTAAGAAATTGGAATAGTCAATTTCACCGACCATATTTTATTCATCTGTTAGGTCTATTCATTTGAGTTTTGGTAAGGAATTCAAATTCCACATAAGTGAAATGTAAATTTATTGTGTTTTGCAAATAATTCCAATTATTTCGACCCATTTTTTAAAGAACAGCTTTTACATTATTGTATTTACTTCATATATTCTATCCCACCATGATGGTTGTCACCACCACCATCATCGTCACTATCGCCGCCGCCACCACCACTGTTACCACCACCTTCGCGTTTACCCCACTACCACTGCTACCAACTCCACCCTATCACCACTATTATATTCAACAAATCAAACAAACATATTAGAATTAATGCTTTGGTAATTCATCACTAGATTTTTATAATTATGTTTTTTTTTTTTTGCAAAATAAACAGATAGATTCAAAAAATTTAACATATTCTGTTGCAATTCATGCTAACTAAATATATGGTCAAATCTGATTAAATTCTATTTCAATTATTTTAACAAGTTTAATTATATAAACCAAATATTACTTGAATATATTTTTGGCTTAACATTTTAAGAAGCTCTTTGGCAGTTGCTGAATGACTTGGTGCATAATGATTAAGTGGTAAGAATGATTAGAAGACTCTCATGATATAGTGAAAATGAAATATAATTGTTTGGTAATTGTTTACGATGAATTTAGGGCGTTAAATGGTTAAGGAGGCCCATGATACAAAATTATTCAGAGGGTTTTAGAACCATTAAGAGTCATTTTTTTTTGTCAAACATGATTTACTTTTTTACGATTCAGAGGCTGTCTTTTAATGAAACTATTAAAAGGTAAACAAACAACTTTAAGAGACTATTTTGCAGTTGCTGAATGGTTTAGTGCATAATGATTAAATGACCAGAATGATTAAGAGACTCTTATGATGTAGTGCAAAATGAAATATAATTGTTTGATAATTGTTCAGAATAAAATTAGGGCGTCGAATGGTTAAGGAATGCCCATGATACAAAATCATTAAGAGGGTTTTAAAAATATTAAGAGACATTTTTTTTTGATAAACATATTTTCACTTTTTAACGATTCAGAAACCATATCTTAATAAAACGATTCAGAGGTTGCCTCAGGGGCTGGTTGTTTACCTCTTAATAGTTCAATTAAGAGACAACATCTGATCACTAAAAGATGAATCTTGTTTCGCAAAAAAAAAAGTAAGTCTTTTAATGATTTTAAAATCATTTGAATGATTTTGTATCTTGGATCTCCCTTAACCTAACCATTCATCACTATAATTTTGTTATAAATAATTAACAAATAATTATATTTCATTTTTTACTAAATCATAAATGTTTTAATCATTTAATAATTATATACCAAATTATTTAACAACCGCCTGACTAAATATATACATATTCGGTGCTTGGATTTTTTTTCATTTGCTTAACACTTAAGTTTAAAATAGCGCATTTATGGTTTTTGTATTTTCGTTACTTATCTGTTCATATTCGCAAATTTAAACTTAACACCATCACCATTTGACACGTGTCGACATCAGAAAAGGCGTTGGGAGTTGGGTTTTTACCCTATACTTTTCTCGATTTTTCCGCACTAGATCGGGACCGCCTGTATAAGTGTCATCGTTCCATCGCTTGCCGTTAGTCTTGCATCTCATTTCTCTTCATTTTTCCTTAGAAATTTCCATAAAACTCTCTCGAAGCTTCTTTTTTCTCGACGATCATGGCGGAGTCTGAAGCCAATCCGACAACTGAGCCTCTGGTAAGCCTATTTTGTTCAGTATTTCTTACACAAGTATTATCACGGACATTCGTTAATTTTGTTTTTTCTCCGTGTTTTTCTGTTTGAACGAGAAGATGTTGCCGGAAATTGTAGTAGATGTCTAAAAAACAGTTAATGGGATCAGAACTTGTTTTTAGTTTGAATAATTTGTGTTTCTAATTGTCTGTGAATCTGTTTTTTGTCCGTGTTTTTTCTGTTTGAATGAGAAGATGTTGCCGGAAATTATACTAGATGTCTAGAAAACAGTTTATTGGATCAGAACTTGATTTTAGTTTGAATAATTTGTGTTTCCGATCGGATCTGGTCTATGTTACTGATTTTTTGTAATTTTGTTCGATTGATGTAATTTAAATTGTTTGTGAAATTGAAAGGCACAGTCGACGACCGATGGAGGAGAGAAGCACCTGAAGCATCTCGAATTTGTGCAAAGCGCGGTGATCTATTTTGTTGTTTGTTTCTCGACAGTTTACGAATACGCCAAGGAGAACTCCGGTCCGTTGAAGCCTGGTGTTCAAACTGTGGAAAGCACCGTTAAAACCGTCATCGGACCTGTGTACGAGAGGTTTCAGGACGTTCCTTTTGAGGTCCTTAAGTTTGTTGATCTGAAGGTATGCGGTTTCCCTTTCCTTATCGTGCGCACCATGCGTATTTTCCCATATGACGTAATTTGTTGTCGGGTAGTTGAATTAGGTCGACTTAATCTTATCGTGATAGTGAAATTACGTTTATTTGGTGCAATACGTAGCTAATAAGACAAATCGCATTGAAATCGACATATTTCCAGGGGGTAGAGTGTAATAAACTTAAATTAGATGGTTGAAAGTGGAATGACATCCAGCTTAATCGGTTGTTACAGGTGGACGATACGTTGAATGAGTTGAATCGCCATGTACCATCGGTGATGAAACAGGCTCCAAGCCAAGCCAAATTCAAAGAATTAGCTTCAGAGGGAGTTAAAATGGCTTCAAGAATGGCTAATTCAGTCTACAAAAAATACGAGCCCACAGCTAAAGAGCTGTACGCAAGCTATGAGCCTGTAGCCGAGAAGTACGCCGTGTCAGCCTGGCGAGAAATGAATAAGCTTCCATTGTTCCCTCAGGTAGCTCAAGTTGCAGTTCCCACCGCCGCATACGTGGCGGAGAAATACAACGTTGCAGTTTGTTACACGGCGGAGAAAGGTTATCCGGTGGCGCAATATCTGCCGTTGGTTCCGATTGAGAAGATCGCAAAGGTATTCAAAGAAGGTGAAAATGTACCACCAGTTGCACAAAGTGGGCAAAGTGCACAAAGTAATCAGGTGATGACATGATATCTATTTGTTACAAAACTGAAAAAAATATATATATGGTATTTAGGGTCGGGAACTGTTGCAGTTGTCATATGGCATATGATGTGGTTTAATTACCTTTAGTGGTGTGATAGCTTTACTCTAAATTTTCTTTTTACTTTTTTAATTATTTTCTTTTATTTTTTATGTTATGGTTTATTTTTTTATGCATGTAGTGAGGTGGGTTTTTGTTTTGGAGTAATATAAGTTTAAGTGTAGTTTGAGTTTCATCTTCTTCTAATCATCCATGATTTTAACAGTGATTTAGGGAAGATTGTTGTTTAGCATGTTAAAACGGGAGGTCTTTCACAACGCTATTAAAGTGAAGAGGCTCGATTTTGTGTGTGTTTAGGGTCTTCTATTGATGTGTCTAGCTTGTTTTAGTTCAAATTGTTCATGTGCAAATTGTTATTTGTTTGTGTTCGGGTTAAAATTGTTAATTATTTAGGTTTAGGTTTATATTATTAGGAGCAAACTGCATGAAAATGTAACATACTTTAATTTAATTTTTATTTTGGGTAATATATTTTCAAAATTTTCATTTTTGGTATTTAAAGATGTAAAGTTTTAAATATTCAAGTATTTGGGTAGTCAATTGAAGTATTAATTATGTTGATGTGGCGAGTGGTGTGGTATTCAACTTAGTATTATTTGTTAATGTGGTTAGTGATATGATTTTTATTAATTTAAAATTAGTCTTCAATCGGTTACATTAATATTCAAATGTTTAGAAATTTACATTTTAGGTATTAAAATGAAAGTTTTGAAAATACATTACTTTTTATGCAAATTGTCCTATTGTTAATTGTTTAGATTAGCATCCTTTGTGTTCAACATACATCTATATCTGTTATATATGCAATGTGATCAAAAAGGTGTGTTTGAACTTGGGGAGAGGTTCAACATCAAAGAACACTCGGAAAATTAGTTGGTGCGATGCATTTATTAGATGTCAAGTTCAAATATAGAAATATAAGTAGTCAGGAGTCCGTTGATCGAGTTGCTAGATTTTAAGGGTTGGTTGTTGAACGATGCATATAATTATTGCACTTTGAGAAGGGTTGATGGGAAAATAAAATATGTTGGTTCTTTTTATAATGTATGGTGCGGTTGGCTCACGTGATTTGGCTCTGTTTTTTTGGTTTGGTTTCTTAAATATAATGATTAATCTATCAATTCGGGTTTCAGTCTAAAAAGCTTACAAGTTAACACTGCTTTCATGCTGTTCTTCTCTTATCTCCGTTTTCAACCAACAACACACAGCGCTGCCTTAATATTCCAAGTCAATTGTATTAGATATTGTATGTTTTTTTTACATATCTCGATTCATGACTTTTAAATGTCTGACAAAGGAGGTATCTAGTCTCTTTGAAGGCAACTTTTTGTTTCCTTCTCTAACCAATATCTTATGTACCACCATTGTACGCCATCTTTCACTACCCCGACCACTCTCAAACAAAGTAACACCATATAATTTGAATCGAGAATATGATGCAAGTGAACATGTCATATGACTTTACCTCACGACACTCGGCTAAAGTCGGAGCCCTGAAAACGCCAAACTGATCGGATTTGAAGTTGAAAAGTTGGAGCCTGAAATTCACTTGAAATCCTTAAAATCCATGCATGTCGGTTGAGATCGGGTTTAGGGTTACTTTGGGTCACTTCACTATTCACATTGTCCTTATAATTAGGGGTATCTTTGTTGCAGTTGATGTTCTTTCTTTAAATTTCCGTGATATCATTTTCGAGGGTTTCATGCAAGTGTTTTGATTGGTAGCTCGAAGATGAACCCTCATGGTTACACCCAATGCTTTCCTGAGTTGGACTCCTATTTACATTCCAGACAAAAACTTTTTCCTTGATTCATTATTTTTTCGCCATTTTCGAGCTCGACGTTGAGAAGCTCCCGATCACATCCTCTTTCATCACAACATCCACCATCACTTTCAACGATCTTTCATCTTCCATGGCCGCCTTGAGGGTGAGGGAGACGTAGACGCGAGACGACAAAGAGGAACAATCACTTGATTAGGTTAGGTTGTAGGATTTAGATCATATTATTAGGAAAATTGATAGTAGTAGTAATCAATTCGGGTAGTCGGACGGGTCAGAGGGTGATTTGGATACTCAAATCAATCCTACATCCCCACTTAAATTCTTGGACCTTGAGGGTTAGATATGTTTGAATTACAGAGGTGGGTTTCTATAGGGATTTTCAGGTCGGATGGGGTCGGCCTTTTCAGATTTTTTAGATTTTGCTCGCTCTTAAGCTAAAGATGTTAACCCGAGGGATGCTTTTGGACCTTGAAACATGAAATAAGAACCACCAATGTAATTATTAAATTTTACAGGCCAAACCCAAAAGCAACCAAAACACATGAACTAATGCCGTAATTCACTTAATATATTTAAGTTATGTTTGGTGAACAGGTAATTTTCAGATGATAAATTGGTTATTAGCTAAAAAATTAGATAATAAACTAATCATTTCTAACCTAAAAATATATTAATAAGTTTATTAACAAATATAAAATAATCAAAAATTACGTTGAAAAATTACTTAATTATAAGATAATTAAATAAATCACTAATACATATTATCATAATTAAAGTAAATAGAATTAAAAACAGAGTGTTTTTCAATAGCTTTAATAGACATTTCTTGTATTTTATATAATATTTGTAATATTATTATGTAATTTTCTCATGCCATGGCATCACCGTTACATGTGAGGATGATTAAAATTGAGTTTGGCCATTAATTTATCCCAAAATATTTAATGTAATAAATAATTTTTTTTCTGTTAATTTTCTTTCTCTTTTAACCTTTTGTTCGATAACTTACAGATTTTATAACAGTTGTAGAGGAATATTTACGTAATCAAATATTATAATCAACCAAAGCGGATATAGAACATAAAATTTTAGAACCTTATAATATCAACAGAGAAAGTTATAATAAAGAGGTCGTTTACCAAATGCTTACCAAGTCATATTTTCATATGAGATAAATATACCAAGAATCTTATATGGTAAGAGGAAAGGTAAAGATCGAGAGTCTTGCCCGATAGGTGATGACGACGGCTATTACCATGGTCAGCGTTTACCGGGTAAATTGTTTTATACAATATCATTTTAGTGGATTAAAATCTTGCTCAGTAAGTAAACGATAATATTGAATGTTACCGGTAAATGTTTACTGGAGTAAGTGTTTAAGTAAATGACCCCTGATATAATTAAATCAAGTTCTAATAAGTTTTATCGTTTTAGAGAACATGTTACATTACAGTGATGTTTGTTTTTTAAAATGTGGTGAAATTTGAAGTGTTATTTCACTTCCGATTTATAAGAGGTGATGCTAAAGTCTGAAATTTGAATCTACAAGGCTATTTGTTTTCGTAAACTGATAGACGTCTGAATTTGTTTAAATTGCTTATTTTACCCATTAGAAATTATAGTGTTGAATTTATAAATAAATTAATACAATTTCACATATTCATTCATCATCGTTATGAAATTTACATCTAAATTATATTAATTAAAATTCATTTAAACGAAAATTATGTCATTAACGGTGTTTAACACATTTACATCCTATTAAAGTACATCAATTCAGAGACGTGCAGATTGATTTGGCAAGGATTGATTCATAGAAATGATCGATTAAGGTTAATTGATTGAGAAACGCCGTTGTTGTTGATTTGAAGAACAATAAGAGGCAAATAAGAGGTTGGTTTACCTCTTATCAGATAAAAATAAATAAAACATAAGTGTCTATGAAAAATTAAAAAAAAACAAACAATCTAAATGACCTTATCTCTTAAGGAATAAAACATAAGAGACTGATAATAGTTTTTTTTTTAATAAAAAACAAACAAGGCCACATCTCTCTTCCTAGAGGTCTGATGTCAAAATCAATCGAGAAGATGTTTGTAATTGCAAGCCAATGACAAAATCACTATCTTATCTTTTCAAATTAATGGTCCCACGAAGAAGTTTTGGGAGTTATCGAAAGAAGTTTCGAGTTGACGACTCTATCTGTTTGGGCAATTGACCCACTAAGGGACCGTTTACTAAATGCTTATTTGGGTAAATGCTTACTAAGTCAAATTCTTTTACCGGATTAGTAAGGCAATAACCAAGAATCTTACCTGGTAAATGCGAAGACACGAATCGAGAGTCTTACTCGATAAGTGATGGCAACGACCCTTACCACGGTTAACGCTTACCGGGTAAATTGTTACATACGATGTCGTTTTAGTAGACTAAAATCTTACCCGATAAGTATGCAATAGAGTTGAATTTTACCATTAAGCGCTTACCGGGTAAGCGTTTAGGTAAACGGCCCCTAATTTACACCATCCCAATTGACATAACATATACAAATATAACAAAAAGAGACGTCAGAACATATCTAACAGATTCTCTATAACTTCACCAAAATGATGACCCAAAAGCTAAAATCTGTAATAGAAAAATGATATCCAAAAGCATTTTGCGTACCAAACATCTCCTACATGTTTGGAAATGCAAACTAAACATGGCTAAGGGCCATTTATTGAACACTTACCTTAGTAATCGCTTACTGGTTTAATTACCTAACCAGTTTATAGAACCAAACTATAAAGTGTTCTATCTAAAAGCGTTACAATAGGTTTATAGAATGTTTTTACATAAAGTGTTTTATTAACTATTTTATATGACACTTTTGATAAGCGTCCTATAAAGTATAAACCCATCTTATCATAGGACATTTTTTTTTCAAATAGTTTCGTATAAAACTATATAATACGACACTTTATTTTAAAAGCGTTCAAAAAACTCCTTAATAACGCCTAAAAATATCATATAAATCTATTGTAACATTTTTAGATAGGACGCTTTTTTGGTTTGGTACTATAAACTTAAGTCTTGTAAAGTATTTTATTAGGACAGTTAGATATTTTATGCGAACTATAAAATCAATTTTGTGGTAACGAGTGAATGCCGACAAACGAGTGACAAAAAGATGCAACGTTATTCTTTAAAAACATTGAACTCGAGTTCATAGATGCATGTGCCTATAATTCCTTTTCATGCCATCATTAAACGATGATGACGAAGAAAGCATGGGCGTAGCCAAAGACGAACTATGGTTACAACAACTGTCAAGAAACGATAGTCGTTGTCTTGGGGTGCTCAACGATCGTGCCTTTGCCATGAAAGATTCCGTTGTGGCCATGTACGTTGGAAAAATTGGAGAATTCGGTAACGAAGTGTCATCTGATCGATCAGGGGATAAGTGGTAGTGTCTTTTTGTGTAATATGACATTTGGGTTCGAGAAGTTGGCGAGTTGTGATGTTTATTCTCGAGACCCAGTTTCCTCTGCATTTCACACATTTGACTATCAAAACGGTGGTTTCTTATGGTAGTCGGACTTTCAAGAATCTGATCGTCTTTTCTCTCCTTGTGAGGGGTAAAATGGTCTTTTTTGTCATTACAGATCCTAGAAACTTGATCAAATGTGGGAACCCGTATTCGATGAACTCTAGCTCGTGCATTTTCGAATTGTTGAATGTTGTTCATTCGGTTTAAAACTTTTCGCCTCACGATTTGGCCCCGAATCACGGCTTGAAGCTTCAGTACTCCCCTCAACCCGACCAACGCTTTCCATGCCTGAAATTTTTTTACTTGTCAAAATTACAAGTTTTCAACATTAAAAAAAATTAAAATAATTTCAAGAAAAATTTGACAAATTTATCAAATATTTGAAGTATTTAAACAAATTTTTACTAAATATATTTAAATTTCTAATCCAAAATAATATAGATTTGACTCAAAAAGTCAACATGTATAAATTGGCACCAGAGGAAGATGTGTATATAACATATACCAAATGCGCACGATAAAAAGATTGGATCTTGATGGCGGCGACGTTTTTGGTTCTCCATTCAAGGTCTTCAGAAGACCTTACGAGCCTGGCAAGCTCTGTGGCTGCATTTGCAGCCGCAACAGCTGCTTTAGCCGCAACTGTCATAGCAACAGCCAGAGCCAACGTGTGTTGGTTTTTATCCTCCTTATGATCATTCCCTTTTGCATCGGGTATGTCGAGTGCATGGTAATTGTGGTTCATCTTTAGCCTCCAGAAACACCATCTTCGCCTCTTTGTCCCCTAAACGAGTCTCAAAAGATGTTACATTATGATACTATTACAAGATACCCGCTATACTCTTTAAAAAACACGTAGAACAACGTTTTATTCGAATAATAGTCGTGGGTTTTCAAAAATTTCGATAAAACAATGAAAGATAACAAGGAACACACCTTTTCTGTCGATTCCACCTTGCAGGCGAAAAATCTCTTTAAAAAACCGAACCAACACATTTTCTTTCTCATCGAGGTTCGTGAAATGATCACTGAGAAAGAGAAAGAGAAATCGAAACAATGAAATGGTTTTGGAAAACACCTTTGGAGAGTTTCATTTGAAGTCGCATGTAAGTAATGTCCTTTATAGGGGGTATTAATTACTCTTTTTAATATTTGTTTGCATTTATAATCATCACTTTTTTCTTAAAACTGATTTTGCTTTAACTTCATTAATTTATAGCATCGTATTAATGTATCACAAATATATATATATATATATATATATATATATATATATATATATATATATATATATATATAAAGAGAGAGAGAGAGAGACTTAGGATCATGTGAGACAAGGTTGTTTTCGTGAGACACGATTTTTACACTTGAAACCTCATAGCAAAACAATGTGAAGGTAACCTTCTCGGTGTTTTTGCTGCAAAGGTTCGAGTTTTTTTTTTACTTTCACAACATTTTATTGTGAAGTTTCAAGTGTAAAAATCGTGTTTCACGAAAACAGCTTTGTTTCACGTGAACCCAACCCTACATACACACATACATATAAGGTTGAGTTCCGGTGAGAAAGGAAGTTATAGTGAGAAGCGTAAATAAGAGATTTCCACCATTGTATCAATCATAATTGAATGCCAATACTAATGAAGTGCACCGAGTTGCACTTGATCAATTTTCTTCTAAAGCGCAATTCATGGGTAGCTATGAGATTAAAAGTAATCAATGATTCATATCTTTTCTTATACTTTTCACGTTAACTCTTTTTTTACACGATCTTTCACCTATATATATATATGTGTGTGTGTGTGTGTATGTATACATACACATATAGAGGGAGATTTAAACCAAAACAAAGTTTAAATAAAAAAACATGAAAACACTTATATCATATGTGATTATGAGCTATTTTAGCGCTAGATCACAAGTCAAGTCGTTCGCACACCCAATTTGAACAATTTTCTTGTTTGAACCCAACTTATATATAACAAGGGTTGGACTCCAATGAGAAGGAGAGTCAAGACGAGAAACTTAAGAAAAGATCTCTACCATTGGATGTATATTAGGATATGTTGTACGGAGATGAGATGCACCAGATCAATCTCCATATCAAGCACGATTCATGAGTGAGTTTGAAATTAAAGACGATTAATGGTCCAAATCACTTCTTATATTTCTCATCTTAACTCTCTTTCTCACATGAATCCCTATATAACAATATGTTAATTAAAACATAACATATAATTCCCTTACATTTTATATACACTTTGTGTGTGAGTGTGACCACCACATTGATGTATCATCATGTGCAATTTGTAAATGCAATCAAGTACTAATGTCATAAATCATGTAATCCATAAACTAATTAATATTTTTAATTTTATGTATATTTAAATAAAAATATTTTTAATTATAAAGCTATATATATTATTATTATTTTGAATAAAATAAGAAAAACTTTAAAACTAAATTCGAAATTAATTTATTAACTAGGAATTAATGTTCATATTTATAAAATAAAAAAACGCTTTGTTTGTTGGAATCAAGAGAATATTAAAGGTAAAAATGGGTTTACCTCTTAATAGTTTCATTAAAAGGTAATGTCTGAATCGCTAAGAGGTGAATCTTGTTTGGAAGGAAAAAAAATATGTTTCTTAATGGTTCTGAAACTTTTTGATTTTGTATCATGAGTCTCTCTTAACCATTCAGTACTCTAATTTCATTGTAAATAATTATCAGACAATTATATTTTATTTTACATTGTATCATGAGACATGAAGGGATTTGAGAAGAGGTCAAATCTGTAATTTATTATGTATTTGTATTATAAATAATTATATAAATGATAATGATTAAATATAATATAATTATTTTAAAAAAAACCATAATAAATATGTGTGGAAAGCATCATGTTATAAATTATTTAATAGAATATGACCGTCCAAAATAATTGTAAATTGCTTCAAAAAGCACCCATGAACCTTCTCATGTCAAGTAATCCGTTGGCATACTTTTTAGGGGAAATAAAGAAATCTTTTATTATATTTAGAACAAATTGTATGAAAAAATAATGTATTTTAATTTGATTCCTATTTTAGATAATATATTTTTATAACTTCTATTTTGGTACTTAAGATGTAAAATTTTAAACATTTAAGTACCCGTGTAACCAGTTGAATAATTAACCGACTATCATGCTAATGTGATAAGTGATGTGGTATTCAACTCAGTATTATTCGCTGACGTGGTTAGTGACATGAAACTTTTTAATCTAAAACTAGTTTTCAACCGGTTACCCGCGTACTTAAAGGTTTAAAACTTTACATCTTAGGTACCAAAATAAAAGTTCTGAAAGTAGGTTACCCAAAATAGAAATCAAGTTAAAATACGTTACTTTTTTCATGCAATTTACCTTCCATTATTTTATATATTTAAATAAAAATATATTAGTTACACACACACATATATAATGAAACCTAAAATATTACATATACAAAGTGTCATATAACTTGGCTAATCTACATAGGACGAGACTAATATGACTTCCATAAAAAATACGTTCGCTACAAAAATCATTTTTCCCAAAATGTCATCACGTGAGCTGTCCTCGTACTATGCTAAGTACTGGACTTTCTTACCGCAAACACTAACAGATGCACCCGAACATGGTCCTGTCCTGGGACACAAGTCGACAAACAAAACAAGTCAGACTCGACGCCTGGTGAGTTCAAGAGTTTACATTATAAAAACATTTGTGATTTGTAAATTTAAGTTAAACTGGTTCTAAAATCCGTTAGAGTAATTCTTAATGAAATGAAAAAGGATTGTTTGAATGCATTGGTAGAATGAATGTACTGATATAATCTGTTTACGGGTTGTTTAGGTGTCAAGCCGGTTGAAAATGTCACTAAAGTCAGTTCAACTAGATTTTATTGGTTGTACGTTAAAAGCACGTGTTTTACATAATTGCTTCGTGTTGTTTGTATTGGATATGTGTTATGGAAATTGGTTTATACCAAGAGAAATGACCATATTGTATTTACTTGATACATTAAATATGGGGTTATTTATAAAAATAACCGGTTTACACAACCCTTTACCACAAAATAACCACATTTTAGAGGTTTTGCCAAAATAACCACCCGGATAGCCCCCGGGGGCGATCCGTACACAATGGGGGTGATCCCGGGTAAAAAAAAATTCCTCAAAAGTCGAGATTACTGTTCACTTCGTTGATCGTGTTTGACCTCGCTCCCGGGGCGATCCGTACTCTACCGGGGGCGATTCGGGTAAAAAAAAATTTTGATTTTTTTTCTAATACCAATTTCACTATAAATACCAACCTCCTAATTCATAATTTTTCACACATTCCCTTCCATTTTTTTTCTCATATATTTTACTCTCACAACCCTTAACCCATTAAACACAATAAACCATCACAACCTTTAACCCATTAAATACGTACGGGTTTTCAACCGTACGCATATATACGTATAAATACGTACGTAAATATGCGTATGGGTTTAAACCCGTACGCATATTTACGTATAAATACGTACGTAAATATGCGTATGGGTTTAAACTCGTACGCATATTTACGTATAAAATACGAAGTTTCAATTTTTGTACCGTTTATATCGTTTTTTTTTACGTTATGCATATATATATATATATATATATGTTACCGCAATTTATATCGGTTTTTTTACGTAAATATGCGTACGGGTTTTCAACCGTACACATATATACGTATAAATACGTACGTAAATATACGTATGGTTTAAACCCGTACGCATATTTACGTATAAAATACGAAGTTTCAATTTTTGTACCGTTTATATCGCTTTTTTTCACGTTATGCATCTATATATATATATATATATATATATATATATATATACACGTTACCGCAAACATTATCACTTTCACGTGATTTCATGTTTTGTGATGGTTGATTGTGTTTAGTGGGTTAAAGGTTGTGATGGTTTATTGTGTTTAATAGGTTAAGGGTTGTGAGAGTAAAATATATGAGAAAAGAAATGGAAGGGAATGTGTGAAAAATTATGAATTAGGAGGTTGGTATTTATAGTGAAATTGGTACTAGAAAAAAAATCAAAAATTTTTTTTACCCGGATCGCCCCCGGTACAGTACGGATCTCCCCGGGGGCGAGGTCAAACGCGGTCAACGAGGTGAACAGTAATCTCGACTTTTGAGAATTTTTTTTTTACCCGGGATCGCCCCCATTGTGTACGGATCGCCCCCGGGGGTGATCCGGGTGGTTATTTTGGCAAAACCTCTAAAATATGGTTATTTTGTGGCAGATGGTTGTGTAAACCGGTTATTTTTATAAATAACCCTTAAATATGACTAGAATAGTACTCGCGCAATGCAACGATATACATCTTGATTTAAATATTTTTTTTTTCTTTATCTCAGTCGATGTTATGATATGGTCTTATGTGATTTTGAGAAAACGATAATGTTTTTATTTTTAAATAAAATATAAATTTGAAGAATATCATAAAATTTTGACAAAAATATATCGATAGTATCAAATTAACTATTTAAAATTCCTCATTTTTTGTGTAATTTTTTTATTCAATTTTTTTATTATAATTTAATTTAAGTTCAATAACCAAGTAATTTATATTTTATTTAATAATATAATTTTCTTATAAAGATAATAATTAATTATTTTGTTAGAACTCGATAATTATCTTAATTATATTTTAGATTTTTTTATATTTTAAAATGAGATGTTTATTCTCTATTTGATTATGTTTATTCACAGTTAGTTATACGAATTCAAACATCGAATTTTAATAAATTATACTTATGCATAATTTACTTGTAATCATAAATTTTAAGTAATATGTATTAATATACAATATTTCATGCATAAAAAATAGTTTTTAAGAGTTTTTTTCAAATGTTTTATAATACAGTATAGATATATACTTAATAAAATAAGCATATGAGATATGTTGAGTGATAACACATATAAGAGTACAAGTTTTGACATTTCGGAATCGATTTGGGGGATTTCATACGGTTTAAGATCAACGGGTCCAAAAAGTCTTGAGATAGGTTTACGGGTATTCAACGAGTCCGTTATAATATGAAAAATAACATAAAAAATGAATTTCGAGTAATATAAACAAGAAGTCTTGATGTACTTGGTTTTCTTGTTACCACAACCTCTTCGTCTATTATATCTGTAGTTTTGTTGCAAACTAACTGTTATACTTGTTAAAATGTAAAATAAACGTCAGTAAAACGACTCGTGATTTTTTCTGACTGCTAATTCAAGTTCTATAACTATCAAACACGTTGTTAAACATAATTACATTGGGTTATCCGTAAAAATCCGAACAATTAAATGCTTGCTCATTATTTGATTAAATATATTTAAATACATGCATTTTTTGGCGTTTTATTTGCCCAAGATTTTATACGAGCATTTCGTCTTCTAAGAGATCAAAGGTTCAAACATCATTACAGGTGAGAAGGGTGTATAAGTTTATTTGTTCTATTTCCTGTATATAAATATTATATACTTCAAAAGAACTTTTATGATTTGTTATTTTATTTATCTATACTATATTATAAAACATTTTGACAAAAACTCTTAAAAACTACTTTTTATACATAAAGTATTATTTATTAATGCATGTTATTTAAAACTCAAGATTACAAGTAGATTGTGCGTAAATACAACTTATTAAAACTTTATATATGAATTTGTGTAACTAACTGCAGATAAACATAATCAAATACAAAATAAACATCTCATTTTAAATATAAAATATAATTAGGATAATCATTGAATTCTAACAGAATACTTAATTATTAATATTATAAAATATTATATTATTAAACAAAAAATAAATTATTTCATTATTAAACATAAATTAAATTATAATAAAAAAATTACATAAAAAATAGAACTTTTAAATAGTTGATTTGATATTAATATTGATATATTTTTTTTCAAGTTTTTATAGTATCTTCAAATTTATATTTTATTCAAAAATAAAATAATTATTGCTTTCTTAAAAACACATAAAATCGTATTATAACATCGACAGAAACAAAGAATAAAATAGTATACTAAAATCGAGATATATTCCACTGCATTGCGCGAGTACCCTTCTAGTTATTCAAAAACCGTCCCCTGATTTTATCTAAATAAATTATGATCACATTTTAACATATGAATCTAACATAATTTTGAATAACACATTTTGTATATTATTAAGCTACAAACGGACTGAATAAGCAGTGAGTGTCATTAAGTTCGTTATGCCGCTAAAGGAAGGTCGTAAAACTCTTTTAACTTAACAAGTCTAGCTCTATAATTACAATGCTCGATTCGGCTCGTTCGAAAGCTCATTTAAATTTTTCGAGCCAAATCAAACGATTCGAGCATATACTTTTTCAAGACAAACATGTTCATAAAATCATGTAACCGAAGTAAAGAAAATTATTGATGTCAAGCCAATAGGCGAGCTAATCAATCTCGAGTTTTAGCTTGTAAACGAGTACTGAACTCAAGCTCAAACTCTACTGTGAAAAAGTTATTCGAGCTCGATCCCGGTAACCATTTTTCGAGCCGAGTTCGAATAGCCCGCAACTCGACCCGACCCATTAACACCCCTCGAACCAAAAATTGGTGTACCTCTTAAAATTTCATGAAAACCCAAAAATAGAATTAGTGTATTCCCTCTTAATTTCATCTCAACTGCATAGCCTTACAGAGTTCATACCATTTCACAAAAATAAAACAGTAAATCAAAAGTGTATCCAGCTGCTGCATATTATTCAATAAGAACATAATCAAAACCATAACAAAAATCTGAAAATACTTACTGATTCAGAGCTTCATCTTTGCTTAATAAGCAGAGTTCTTCTCACCATAGCTGGACCAGAACTTCTTGTAAGCTGAAATCACTGAAGGAAGAACAGCTGCAAGTGCCAATGAAAGATGTTCCGAGCTGCTCGTCTTAACCGTGATCTGACCGCTCATCTTGTTGTTGATCCCAGCTCGAACCGCCACCTTTGAGTTCCGCCCAGCCGAGAACTGGGCTAGACTATTGAAACCCAATGCCAAATCGCCTTTCCACTTTATAATCGACAACCCGACTGTCGACTGAACCTGACCAATTGGATAATCGAGCTCACGGCGCTGGACCTCGATGTTGGCTCCATATGCGGAATCGGATTGAAACCGAACGGTGCCTGCGCTTCCGAGGAGGGAGTACTGTTTTCCGAATGCAATCTGATCTTCGACTTTGAATCCCGTGACCACATTTTCGCCGAGAAATGTGACCGACATTCCAGCGGCGGTCTTGTTCTTTTTCAGATTCTTGAATTTGGTTTCGCCTCTGACGATATAAGCAAGTTGTTTTCCGATCGGTTGGATGTCGAAACCAGCCATACTCGACCCCTTTTCCCCGTGTTTTGCGGAAACCGAAGAATCCAGATTGATGCTGAAATCTTTCTTGTCTTTCGTGATTTGGACCGAAACTGCAGCCGGAAAGCGACTGGCAATCGCGAGACTTTGTTCAAGATTGACTCCATCATAGCCGCAATCATGATCCCAACCATGGGTGTCGAGCACAGGCCGTGCCAGAAACTGTGACGTTGGCTCCAAGAATCGGAATCTGTAGGCGGCATTATCACTATCAAACGATGGCGGCAGTGCCATATCGGGTAACGGAACCGCTACCGGTGCCGGTGCATCTCCTTCGCCTTCTTCTTCGGGATAAGGTTGATCGGTAATTGCGTCCTTGCCTCGTTTCTTCATCTCTTTCATTCTTTTCAACTCTTCTTTCCATTGTTTTTTCTGCAAAAGCTTAACCCGATAATCGTATTCATCGAAGTAAGCTTTCCGCTGTTCTCTGCTAAGCTTCGAAAGTTGGGATTTTTTCAATGGCTTGAAAGGAGGGAGCTGATCATACTCATCTTCATCTTCCTCCTGATCGGAATCCGACAAATCCGCCAAATCAACATCTGAATCACCGCCATCACCGCCCTGCTCAGATGAGAGCTTCGGGTGTGCACGAGACTGTAGCATCGAAGATAACATGTAAGGCAAAGGCGGTGATCGGACACGGAACCCAAAAAGCTTCCGGTTATCATATGGATCCTGAGGTTTGGAGAGCGAATTGGCTTCAGCTAAGATCTTCATCGAGTAACACAGCATAAGAAGCTGCGGCCGCCATGTTTGGCCATTCGGAAGAACCTTCTGACCTTCCCTGTTCTTACGACACGATTGATGGTTTTCAACAAGCGAAACCGGATTCATCAAACTCGGGCTCATCATTCGCAAATCACCAACGGCATGACCAATGGCTTGTTGAACCACATGCGACCGTTGGGTCACAAACATTTCATAACTCAACGGTATTCCATTCGAACCCTCCGGTGGGGCAGAAGCACCATGCGTAAACGTGACTATCGCACTTCGCCAGATGGCAGGACCAAGGGAAGTAGTAATTGTTTTCAACAACGGAATGTCGTTATGATCTCTGGTCTGTGCATCTAGCCGATCCACATAAAGAACGATATCAGGGGGATTTTTCTTTGTGAACTTCTTGGCCGATGCTAATACATGCCTGTTAAACCCTTGATCCATTACAGAGGACCGAAGCCCAGGTGTATCAAAGACCCGAATCATAACTCCACCAACCATGCCACGAATCTCCTTCACCGATGAAGTTGCAGGTTTAAACGCACTGATTACAGTCTTTTCTTCCCCGAAAATGGAATTTATGGTAGCACTTTTGCCAACCCCAGCTTTACCAATAACAAGAATATTCACAGAGAAATCAAGATCACCATTTCCATCAGCTTCAAGCTCCACAGCTTTCCTTTTAGCAGCATCGAGGCTAAAAGATTGACCGGTTTGTCTCCCTGCAATGAGTGCTAGCCTGTAAAGAACCTGTGCAGCCACAGACTCGTCCGGCGAAAGACCTAATCGCTGCACAAGCCTCAAAAACTTCACCCTGATCGACTGTAAAGTCTCCAGCTTTTTCCGCTCCTCTTCACTTAAGTTGCTATCCGTTTCACCGGCGGTCATAAGACTGGAAGGATTGAAAATATTGGCACGGTTTGGTCTGGGAGCGGCTCTCATAGTCTGGAGTGACGGTCCCAACCCAGCAGGGCGCTCTATGGTGAAAAGCCTGGAACCATCTTGAGACGAAAACGTGATATTCCCGCCTTCTGACCCACCATCGGCTGCTGCTTTCAGAAGAGCAGCCAGGGCAGCTGAATCAAACAGCTCTTTCCCATCTTCTTCATCATCATCTTCGTCAGAATCTGTGACAATCTGACCATCAATCATCTGTGAACGATCTTGAGAACTCTCTCCTCCAGTGTTGGAACCCCCGCCTTCACCTGATCCCCGTTCCAACTCCTCCATAAACTGCTTAGCAGCTTCAGAGCTTCCAAAAATCACACCATCTGTATCCTCATCTGAAGGAGAACCATCCATGTATCCTTCTTCCTCAGCATCATCCTTTTCAGCAGATTCCTCTAAAACGAACTTGTCAGCCGGTCCATTTTCTAGACCATTATCTTCTACACCACCAGAAACAACACCCATATCAGGTATATCTTTGCTCGAAGATTCTGTTGCCTGAGCTCCATCATCAGGCAAATCTTTGTCCAAAACTTCTGTTCTCTGAGCTCCATCATCAGGCAACTCTCTGTCCAAAATGTGTGTTTTCTGAACTCCATCATCAGGCAACTCTTTGTCCAAAATTTCTGTTTTCTGAGCTCCTCCATCAGGCAACTCTTTGTCCAAAATTTCTGTTTTCTGAGCTCCATCATCGGGCAAATCTTTGTCCAAAATTTCCATTTTCTGAGCTCCATCCTCAGGCACATCTTTGTCCAAAACCTCCGTCACCGGAGCTGCCTCATCAGGCACCCCTTTGTCCAAAACCTCCGTCACCAGAGATGCATCACCCTGCAAATCAACTGGAGACACAGTTTCTACATCATCCAAAGCAGACTTCACCACGGATCCATTTTCTTTCCCTTCATAGTCAACTTCTTTCTCTACTTCTGCCTCCAGGTTCTTTCCACTCTTCTCTACATCAAAACCACCCGAATCTTCCACATCCAAAGGTGAAAAACTTCCATCAGTAACTCCAACAACCTCCTTATCCACCACCTCTTCCAAGACTTGGTCCAACTTTACATCAGCCGCAGCAACCCCATCTTCGTCTTTCTTATTAACCACCGCCACTCCCACCACTCCCGCCACCGGCAAATCAACATCTATGGCTTCCACTACAGAATCCCCTTCAGAAGTAACCTTCACATCATTTCCACCATTAGATTCTAACTCAGATGCTTCAACAACAGGTTTAGAGTTATCAGGACCACCAACTAGCACCACATCATCTTCATCTTCATCTTCATCCTCATCCTCTTCTGTGTTAGCAACCACAACCACACCTGGTGCAGGTGTATCAATTTCTACTTTTTCCACAATTGAATCCCCTTCTGTGGTAACCTTCACACCATTTTCTGCAACCACCTCAGATTTAACTTCATCACTAGATACAACCTTTGATACAGTTTCATCAACTACATCTTCCTTAATTTCACCCACCTTATCTCCTTCACTCCCTTCCAAAACCTCCTGTTTCACCAATTCATCCGAATTCAAACCCTCCACCACTAAATTACCCTTTTCGGCATCATCATCAACAACCACCTCATCACTCACAGTCTCCGATTCAACCTTAGAAATAGGGAATTCAGAAGTCTCCAAAAACGAATCACCCTCATCTACATTCACTAGGGTTTCTAAATTCTCATCTAAATTTGTCTCAAAAGCCTCCTCTTCACCGCTAGCAAAACCCTCGTTCTCGTCGTCAGAATTAACATCCAGTCTACTAACTCCATTATTGTTATTATTATCAACTGATTTCGAAACATTCGTTTCGTCAACAGTTTCAATTTTATCAGAAGAAACAGAAGAAAAACCTGATAGAGACACATCTTCCTTAGGCTCCATTGATGCTGAACTTGACCTCCAATAGGGGAAATGATACAAAATTGAATGATAAACTAGGGTTTATGGTGAGTGAATTTGGGGATAAGGATTTAGATAGAGAGAGAGATGATAAGGTTTTTCGTAGAGACGAAAATCCTTCCTTCGCAGCCGCTACCCCAGAAGTGCTTCTTTCTTTGGGGAGGTTTGGGGTTTTCTTTCTGGGCTTTCCGTTCTGAAATACTTGAAATGACGAATTTACCCTTGGTTGGCACGTGACTAAGGAGAGATATTTTGTAATTAAGCCATGATTTTTCCATTTTAGTTTACTTTTTCCTCAAAAAATAAATTAAATTTAAAGATTTTACTTTTATTAAATATAAAATAGAAAAATTAATTAAAATAACCATTTTCAGACTTCGATATCATCTTTTAGCTTTTTCTCTCATAATATATATATTGTATTATAAATCATTTGACAAAAAAATTTAAAAATCATTTTTTATGCATGAAGTACTATATATTGATACATATTACTTAAAATTCAAGATTACAAGTAAATTATGCATAAGTACAACTTATTAAAGTTCCGTGTTGGAATTCGTGTAACTAACTGCGGATAAACATAATCAAATAGAAGATAAATATCTCATTTTAAAATATAAAAATCTAAAATATAATTAAGATAATTATCGAGTTCTAACAGAATCATTATCTTTATAAAAATTTATTGTCAAGTCAAAAATAAATTACTCCACTATTTGACCTAAATTAAAATATAATAAAAATGAATTAAATAAATTATATAAAAATAATAACTTTTAAATAGTTAATTTGATATTAATATCGATATATTTTTAAAAAAAATTATGATGTCTTCAAATTTATTTTTATTCAAAAGTAAAAACATTATCTTTCTCAAAACTACATAAACCGTGTTATATCAACAAAGACAAAAAAATAAAACGAAACAATCAAATCGAAATGTGTCTTGATGCATTGCACGAGTACCCTTCTAGTATTTTAAAAATGTTATTACCTCCGTAAGTGACAGCTCCTCAACTTACAGATAAATAAAGTGTAAAAAAACGATTTTTAAACTAGATCCGCAGGTGCAAGGACAAAATTTGTAACTTAGTCCCAACGGGCCTATATCTAATTTACAGATTTGGTCCACGCTTTTTTTTTACACTTTGATCCCTCTGTAAGTTGAAGAGTTGTCACTTGTGGATGTAGTGACATTTGAAATATTAGAAGAAAGATGATTACAAAATGAAACCAAAGTCTGAAAATGACTATTTCTATTAATTTTCCTATAAAAATATCTATATATGGTAAATTTGAGTAAAAGTTGATTTCCGGCAACTTCAACGGGCCTCACACGAAACCTGTCTTCAAGGACACTAATGTGGGGGCGCATTTAAAGGCTGAAGCTATAGGGGAGGGATAGGAACTGGGCATCTGGGATCGAACTCAATACCTGTTTTGTATTTGGCAAAGTTACTCCGCCTATTTATCAATAGCTAAATTGAGCTATGGACCATGTGCATTTATAGATGGTAAATAAATCAGTTGAACAGATGCACGGGACCACGTTGGGGTCTTCATAGGCCCACCCCTGAGCTCAACTGACAATAAAACTTGGGTCATTTGGTATTGTTTTTACCTTTGGGATTAGTCGAGACACATGTAAATTGACCCCGATACCTATAGTTAAAATAAAATAATATATGTTGGTTCACAAATTTGTTTTATTTTAATTTTATTTTTTAAAGTTTAGTGAATAATTAAATACATGAGATTAAGAACAATAATTAAATATTTTATTAAATTATAATAATCATAATATATGATATTTGATTAAATGTTTAATATCTATTTGGTAAACTAAAAATAACCCCCTTCGTAATTGATCAAAATCAATGTGCTTGAAATTTGAATTAAAAATTTAATAAAAATATAATATTAAAAAAAATATTATTTATTTTTTAAAAAAATCGCATTTTAGTTGTTTGTTACTTTGTTTGGTCCATACAAGGCATAAAGCCAATTTTGTGTAACACGATGTTGTTTACGATAATTGTAGGACGGCAAATAAAAAATCTAATGTTTAACATAATAATATAAACGTATCGTAAACAACAAGGGTGATGTCTGATTGATTTGAGTTTGAGCTTCAAATGTCAAAAGTGTCTGGAGGTCTCTGGTTCAAATTCAATGAGGAAACAAAATCCTCTTGTTGTCATGGAGGTTCAAATGTGGTGACTCTATGCTACATGCAAAACATGTGGTAGTATTGGGATTAGTCGGCTGACATAGCGGGTTGGTAATCCATGTTAATAATAAAAAAATCATCGAATCAGATATATATTTTTTAGACGTATAAAATTGTTTTTTGGGTCTTGTAAATTTTATGTTCTATGGTAAATTTCAATCTCGTGGACAAGAGCTACCAGTGTCGTTTCTCGTTTATATAACAATTGATTCACTTAACCTACAAAAACATAAAATAGAACTTTGTTCATTTAGTTTCTTTAAAACGTACGTTAATTAGCGATTCAATAAGTATTGATGGTTTCTCCTCAAAACTAGAGTCTTTGTCATAACGGTATCGTAGTCTTTGGCTTCCTACGAGGTCAGGGTTCAAACTTCACCAAGTGTGAGGAACGTGTGTGAGTTTACTTATTGCATTTTCTGTATAGTACTGTATACTTCAAAAAAAAAATCAGTAATATCATTTATATTTTTTTTGAACTAATTATCTAACGTGTCTTTATAGACTATTTTACATTGTCATTTAGCTTATGTGTTAGTTTACCAAACATAACTTAATTTATCAGTCAACAACTAACTTTTCAATCAAAAATTTGCTTTTTCAGTTAATTTACTGAACATCATCTCAGATGCATGTAGATACTAATCACTTGAATATGAATACACAGCTAGTTAGATGTATCAAGATATCTAAATCGTTATTGTTTATTTTTTTCAACCATTTTATATAAAAATGAATTATGCGTTGTTTGTTTTATTGACGCATTTGCTATAATTCGGTAAATAATATAAAAAAATGTTAAATCTTAGGGGCCGTTTACTAAACGCTTACTTGGTAAGTGTTTACCGAATAAATTTCCTTATCGGATGAACATGACAAGAGTCAAAAATCTTACCGGGTAAGAGAAGTGAGAAGGATGAAGAGTCTTACCCGGTAAGTGAAGAGTATTACTCTTACCCAGGTAAGCGCTTACCCGGTAAATTGTTGCATTTAATACGTTTTGATGTACTAAAATCCTACTCATCAAAATAAATTATAGTGTTGACTCATGTAGGTAAGCACTTATAAGGGCAAACATTTTAGTAAACAGCCCCCTTAGATTTAATTGAAATGGCAAAAGGTGTTAAATGTAACAAAATTTGGTTTAGTGTAACAAATAATCTATTTCTCAATGTGTGTAATAGAGTGTTAATTTTTTTTTTTTTTTGATTAACCTGAACATCAACCTGCTATGCGAACCGACTAATGTCATAACGACCACCTACTTCACGGGTATCCCAGAGTAATCGCATTTGAACATCCGTGGTCACAAAGGGGTTTTTTATTCTTCATTATATTCGAACCTGCGACCCCCATGCACTTTTGACATTTGGAGTCCAAGCTCAAACCAATCGAGCACCATCCTATTTAGTTTGGTTTATTTCCTATTTAGTGTAACAAAGTTTCATTGGTTAAAATGTATTTAAAAAATAAAACTAAAACAAAATTTGTTGGATTTTAGTGAATTTTCACACATAATTAATCTGTAAATATCATAATGTGATACCTAAAATTAATATGCTAAAAACATGAAAATTTAATACCAAATATGTGAAAGGGATGATACCTCGCGTGGTATACCTGATTGTTTAGTCAACGAGACGTACGTAAGTCGACAGAGAAAAAAGTTTTAAAAATACCATCATATTTTTTCTCACAATTACATATTTTAATAGAAAAATATATCAGATACGTATTTATATCATACGTAATTATATTAGTTGTACAACTTAATGAACAAATTGCATGAAAAAATAACGTATTTTAAATGATTCTTATTTTGGGTAACGTATTCTCAAAAAATTCAATTTTGGTACATAAGATGTAAAGTTTTAAACATTTAAGTACTCGGATAACCGGTTGAAGACTAGTTTTAGATTAAAAAATGATTAATTTTAGATTAAAAAAAATTTATGTCACTAACCACGTTAGCTAATAATACTGAGTTAGATACCACATCACTCGTCACATCAGCATGATAACCGGTTAATGCTTCAACTGGTTACGTGAGTACTTAAATGATTAAAATTTTACCTCTTAGGTACCAAAATTGAAGTTTTGAAAGTATGTCACTCGAAATAAGAATCAAATTAAAATACGTTATTTTTTCATGCAATTTGCATTTAACTTTAAATGCATTTTTTTAATCATGGATATCCGAGTTAACTTGCGCACACCTCGACTAATCCCAAGAAGTCTGGAGCACAGACAAAAAAAAATCCAAATGGCTTTGTATTTAACCAGTGACTTTTGAGGAAGATCTCTAAAAACTCAAGCCTTGTTATTCTTATCTGCATATTTTTTTCTCAAATTGATAATTTAATATTAGTTAATTACTAGAACGGTACACGCTCAATGCATCGAAATAAATCTTCATTTTAATGTTTACTTTTTATTCTTTGTCTCTATCAATATAATATGATTTTATGTGGTTTTGAGAAAGCGATAATGTTTTTATTTTTGAAATAAATATAAATTTGAAGATAGCATAAAAATTTGAAAAAAATAAATCGATATTAACTATTTAATAGTTTTCGTTTTTTTTTTGTAACTTCTTTAATTAAAATTTTATTATAATTAAATTTAGATTTAATAACAACGTAATTTATTTTTGATTTAATCATATAATTTTTTATAAAGATAATAATTAAACATTTTGTTATAACTCAATAATTATATTTTTAATTTTCTATATTTAAAATAAATGTTTAGCCTGTATTTGATTATGTTTATGTGCAGTTAGTTACGTGAATTTAAAATTTGAGCTTTAATAAGTTATACTTACGTAAAATTACTTGTAATCTTGAATTTTAAGTATTATAAAACAATATTTCATGTATAAAAAATGGTTTTTAAGAGTTATTGTCAGATGCTTTATAATATACTATTATATTATTAAAATAAAACGAATTAAAACACCATTTTAATTAATTTTATAAGTAAAATATCATTAAAAATAAAATTTGGAAGTGAGATAAAGATTTTGTTTGGAAGTGGCCAAGAAAGATAGCGTTGAGGATTGGGTGAGGATTGGGTTTTCCTCATCTACAAATGCTTGGTTATTATTTAACTGCCATTATCCTTTATTTTTTATGTAATTCTTTTATTAAAATATTAATATTTTATATAAAAAAATGTAATATTTATATGGTATTTCTTATTTATACGACGTTTTATTTTAGGTTAAGAGCCGTTTACAAACGCATATACGGTAAGTGCTTAACAATAAATGTTAACACTTCAATTTACTTAAAGGTAAATACTTAGGGGTTGTTTATATGCGGTTTAATTAAGCTTATTGGTCTATCTGGCATATTCGCACAACTCATTTGGATTGTTTACTTACGGCTTTATTCGCACATAACATGGCTTAATCGCACAAATAGAATTGGTATGTTGTCCTCATTCAGCCACAAAATGACACCCTTACCCCTTATTTAAAGCACCGTCTCCTTCACATATGAGACACCCCATCTTCGGCCTCTTTATGATTTTTATGTTTTGATGTTCAAATAATTAATATTGGAGGGTAAATCAGTTATTTGTGTTATTGGGTAAGGATCTCGGCTTCTGTCATGTTCATCCGATAAGGTAAATGACCTGATAAGCATTTAATATACGACCCACAAGTTTTTGAATCGAATGTACCTGTTGTCGCCCGTTAGTCTAGTAACGATAATTATGCTATTGAAAATTATGATTTATAAATTTACTTTATTTTGTTACATACGATGCAAAGAAATATAAAATTTTATTATAGATCAAGAATTGAGAATTTATGATTTACTCTCTTATATTTGTAGGTTCAAAATCAACCATGTATTTAAACGTGTTTATCAGTTGTTTACGATGTTTAGGCATGCAATTTTAAGAACTTGTGTAGCGATAACAAATCGGAACGTTTTACTGCATCACTTTTTTTAATACTTAGATAAAAAACTGATTACCTGTAATCTCAACCAGTTCTATACGGAACCCTCTCCAATACCATGTGTAGGGACATTTTCGGGCTCACTCAGCTATAAAATCTAGCAGGGGTTTGGGATCGAACCAAGGATCCGGGGTTCGATGAAGAATTGGCGAACCCTTGCTAGCCTAAATCGGTGACTAAACCAAAAAATGTCCCCTTAAAAGTTGAGATTGCAGGTAATCAACTCAAGAGATGATTTCTTATAAAATAATGGAATTAAATTTGATGATGCTTGCTTTTTTATCTATACTATATTATAAAGCATTTGACAAAAACTCTTAAAAACCATTTTTTATGCATAAAATAATGTATATTGATGCATGTTACTTAAAATTCAAAATTATAAGTAAATTATGCATAAATACAACTTATTAAAACTCGATGTTTAAATTCGTATAACTAACTACGGATAAACATAATCAAACAGAGGATAAACATCTCATTCTAAAATATAAAAAATCTAAAATATAATTAGAATAATTATCGAGTTCTAACAAATAATTAATTATTATCTTTGTAAGAAAATTATATTATTAAACCAAATATAAATTACTTCGTTATTAAACATAAATTAAATTATAATAAAAAAATGAATTAAAAAATTACACAAAAAATAGGAATTTTAAATAGTTAACTTAATACTAATATCGATATATTTTTGTCAAAATTTTATGATATCCTCAAATTTATATTTTATTCAAAAATCACATAAGACCGTACTATAACATCGATTGAGATAAATAATAAAATAAAATATTAAAATCAATATGTATCTCGCTGCATTGCACGAGTACCCTTCTAGTTTATCTCAAATGATACTATAACATAAAATATAAAGCCCATAACAATTGATTGGGCCGGATTAAAAAGGTCCATAATTAGTTTGGGTTAGGCCCATACATGTTGAGTTAGCCCATTATGTATATTGAGGAAGGGGCCTAAGTGGAAAATCGTTATAAAAATCAATTAATTCATATATTTTTTCGGATGATTTTAACAACAAACTTGATGAATAATCTATAAGGTCTGTCTGGTATATATGATTGGACTGGACTAGACATGATAGAATAAAAACTGATTTTTTCATATTTGGAGCGAAACGAGGCACGTATCAGTATCATAAAGATAATGATGGAATGTAGATTGTTGTATACATTTCCACTTATTACGATTTAAGCGGACAACCCATAGTCTTACAGTAATAAGTTTTCGTTACCTTCCATGGTCGCCAGATTGCTGTTACGCTCAAGAAGTTTTATTTACATGAATACCCTCCTTTAATTATCCTGTTGACGTAAAACAACCTTGAAACTAACTATCCGTGTTGTTTTGTTGTTGTCATAATTCCACCTATACATTTGTTTATTTAACCATTTGTCTGCCAACATACATGGTCGTTGAATTACGCTTTGGTTGTGCTCCTAGCTTTGATTAAATCAAGAAACATAGTACATCTATATCACAGATATGCACGTTTTAAATCACTTATATTGCTTCTGATATTGAATTACATCCGACTTACATAAAACAATGTAAGAACCATACACATGATTACCTTAACGAATACCAGAAGCCATGTCAGTGGTAAAAGGATAAGAGTGCAAAAGCTAATACTGACAACAATGTTGGTGAATGCATACATTTAATAAAATACTGAATGTGATAAAGACCCGAATAAGGTTTACAAAGTATTGATAAAAAGTACAGTTAAAGAATCGTAACTGAAAACAAGACCACATTCGGTTTATTCGAGTACGATAGAGAACCCAAATACGACTTCGAGGGTGTTGACATAGCTGATTTAACGAGTGTTGGAAGTTAGATCAACAAACACCGTAAAAAAAGAACCAAAGTACAGACGACGATACTAACGATCTTGTTAGTGAACGCGTAAGTTAAAGAATCGTAATAAAAAACAAGACCACATTCAGGGAATTGCCAATTACGATTAAAAACCCGATTACGGTTGCCAAAAAGTGTTGACAAAAAGATTTAGATTGAGAACCCTAATTGAAAAACAATACCAAATTCGATTGCATAAAATCCTCTTTTCACCCACCTACTACACACATTCAACCCCAAAGACCCCCCTTTGTTACTTCCTGCCGCTTAACAACCTCCCCTCCGTAAAATTCATATAAATTCATACTTGCTGCCCTTTGATTCCCAGCTTCCGATCCCCATCGCAATCAATTCTACAATCTTTTTACCCCTTTCTAATAAAATTTCATTCTTATATATATAAAAGAATACAGTTTTTGTCTACAAAATTTCCCATCTTTTTCTTCTTTCCAATCCTCCGCGAGCGAATTCCGAATCGACGGAAGGCAATTTTAACCATGGTGGAAACAAGACGCAGTTCGTCTTCCTCGAAACGCACGCTTTCATCGCCATGTTCTTCCCCAATTCCTACAGGGAAAAGATCCAAGGTATTATCTTTGATTGTAAACATAAATACCCTTTTGACCAAATCTTCAATTTTGTAGAAAATTTTCAATTTTGGCGATCGGTGGCTGCAGGCGGCGGAGGCGGCATCTTCTTCCACTACAGGCACGCCGGTGGAGCCCATTGAGGCGGTGGTGAAGGAATCTGGTGGATGTGAGTCTCAAGAACAGGAGGTCCGATCGTCTGATCCGTCGAAGAAAGATTCCGATGGTTGTGATGAAGTCGCTGGTGTTGATGTACCGGAAAAGTCTCCCGTGGGTCAGGTGGAAGGGCAGCCGTTAGTTTCCCCTATGTCTCTAGGTGGGTTTTGAAGTTTTTTCATTATCTTGAAAAAAAGAATACTTTTTGATGATCTTTTTTAAAGATTTCTTGATCTTTCTTTGATGGGTTTTGTAGGTGATTCGTTAATTGATGTAGAGAAGACCAAAGCTAATGGTGGTTCAACTGTTTTGAATCGTACTAAGAAAAGACAGTCGAAATCTAATGTTGGTGTTGCGTGGGGGAAGCTTCTTTCACAGTGTTCTCAGGTGGGTTTTTTCAGATTGTTATTTTTGGTTTAATCAACAAAGAAAATCTTGGGTATTTGGACCAATTTGGGTACTTTTGATCTTAATAAGTAACAAGAATATTTGGGTATTTCAAGATTTCAAGTAGAATGTCATGAAGTTTATGAAATTATGAGATGGGGATTAATGAATATGGTGATATTAGGAGGCTGTTTAGTTGGTTTTCCATTAAGTCATGGATGGATAAAGTTGTCTGTTTAAATTAATGGTGATATTAGGTTCTGTTTGTTAACAGCATAATGAGCTTAAAAGGGAGTATTCGCTCAGCTATCCATGACTGTTTGGTAGTGGCTTAGTGATATAGAAAGTGGCTTATTCGGTAAGCTTCCAGGGGAGCTTTATGCAGAAAGCTAGGTTTTTTCAAAACCTGCCCTCCCAATTAAAAATCAAGCTCCTTCCATCTGTAAAAAAACCCTCCCAAATAAAAACAGAATTTGTACAAACAGATTAATCCACAATGACAACTTTATCCACATAGGACTTCATGGAAAACCAACCAAACAACCCCTAATATAGATTTGGAAGGTTTTTGTTTGGGAGAGTTTTTCCGTAGATGGAGTGAGTGTGTTTTTTGATTGGGAGGGGGCGGGTTTGAAAAAACTTGGCTTTTTGCATAAAGCTCCTCCTAGAAGCTTATTGAATTAGTCACTTTCTGTATCATTAAGTCATCACCAAACAGTTATACATAGCTGTCCGAATGAGCTGTGAGTTCCATTAAGCTCATCAAGCTGCTAACAAACAGTCCCATATTACCTTTGGGCTGTGATGGTTGTTCAGCAATTCTCGCTGCTATTGGCTACAATCTTTATCCATCAGCTCTACTCTGCAGTATAGAGGTCAGGTCTGTGTACCCCCCCCCCCCCCCAAAAAAAAAGGAAAAAAGCCCAATCCCACCTTCTGGTGGGACATAATGAGCTAGTTTCGTTTGGTCTTTCCGAACTCTTTTGATTCACTATGCATTTTCTGCCATGTGTTGGGAGTAATTGCTATCATTTGTGTGTGTTTTAATATGTGTATCTTTTTCTGATGTCCAGAATCCTCATGTTGTTATGGATCGTTCCATTTTCACCGTTGGTCAAGGCCGCCAATGCGACTTGTGTCTTGGTGATACATCCATCAGTAAATCGTTGTGTAGCTTGAGGCACATAGAGTCACAGGTTTTTTTTCATTTTACTTGTTATTTGTTTCAATTAGTGATGCCTTACGCTTTCTTTCACCATCACTTGTGCACATTTTCTGTTATGTTGATGTTGGCAAAGATGCCTAATATGGATTTATTTATTTGCATAGCAAGGAGGTGCTTCAATCACTTTACTCGAAATCACCGGGGGCAAGGGCGCTGTTAAAGTGAATGGCAAGGTGTGCCCTAAAAGGTCTACCTTACCACTTAGAGCTGGAGATGAAGTTATTTTTAGCTCTTCAGGACGGCATGCTTACGTATCCTTGAAAGTAGTGTTTTTATTTATTTATTTATCACTAGCAATCATTCTACTGTTTGTGGGAGAAGAGGCAGGTCTGCCTACCTCTTCCCCTCCTCAGACCCCACCTCCAGGTGGGATTTACTACGGACCCCACCTCGAGCTCCAGGTCGGATCTACTACTTACCCCGCTCCACCTCCAGGTGGGATCTACTGGGTTCGTTTGGTTTTTACTAGTTTGTTCTTGTGCTTGTATACCGGTTTGTGTTCGTTAGTAGAAATTTGATTGATTGACTTTTTCCCCTGCGTATACCATGTGTGAAACAATTTTCTTAACGTACTCTCAGATATTTCAGCAGCTATCGAATGATAATGTTGGCGCTGATGTGGCACCTTCAGTAAGCATCTTAGAGGCACACAGTGGTTCATTAAAAGGATTACAGTTTGAAGCGAGATCTAGAGACTCATCTGCAGTTGCAGGAGCATCGATATTAGCATCGTTATCTAACATTCAGAAAGAGTTATCTCTTCTTCCCCCACCTTCTCGTAAAGGAAAAGGGTTACAAACTGGAATGCCAACTCTACCTTCTGCTTGTGAAGTACCTGATAATCGTGTAGCTGATATTGACATGAAGGATGCTTCTGATCCTAATGATAGCGGTGGTGTACCTTCGTGTGAGAAAGCCGTTGTTACGCCTGATGCTGTTAATGAAAATGTTGACGGTGTTTCAGTTGATGCAGAAATGGGGAACGTCCCTGCAGCAACTCATGAGTTACGACCGTTATTGCGTATGCTTGCAGGATCATCTGCCTCTGAGTTTGACATTTTGAAAATTCTTGATGAGCGGAGAGAAATTAGAGAACTGCTTAAGGACATTGATCCTCCGATCTCATTAGCAGCACGACGTCAAGCATATAAAGATAGCTTACAACAAGGAATTCTCGAGCCCGATGCAATTGAAGTTACATTTAAAGATTTCCCATATTATTTAAGGTGTGATCACCGACTTACTTCTTTATCTATCTTGTGCTCGTAGTTCTTATTTTCTTCTTTTTATCCTTCATTTGTTCTACACTCAATTACGATGCACATAAGTTAGAGCATGCATATATATAGGGTTAGGGGAAAACCGTAAAAAATGAAAAACTGAGGAACACCCTGGTAACCCTTCATCTGAACAGTATGCACATGTGCATACAAGTAATTTGTAAGCAATTTGTCTGGTGTGCGCATGTGCATATAAAAACCAACAAACAACTTCCATTACTTGTATGCACATGATGGAAGTTGTTTGTTGGTTTTTATATGCACATGTGCACACCAGACAAATTGCTTACAAATTACTTGTATGCACATGTGTATACGGTCCAGATGAACAGTTACCATGGTGTTCCTTAGTGTTCCATTTTTTTGGGGTTCCCCTAAACCTCCCTCTCTCTCACTCTCTCACACACACACACTATCTATGTCAAATCAGCAACTCTCATGGAAACCACAAACTTGCCCACCATCACCACCTTTTCTTCTATGTAGAAGAGAGTGACTGCATACTTTCTTTCTTAACACCCATATTTATTCAAAAAGTGATAACTTTGGTGGTTAGGTATTCATTTATTTCTCTCTTTTTTTATCTGGTCATCATCTGATCTTTAATTTGCTTGCCGATGGGGTGAAATCCACATTTTCTTTCTCTCCTTGTCAGAAAGCTAAGACTTTGTTGTTACACAAGTCCTATTTGTCGCGATCATAATGCTGAATATATCCATTGACCCAGAAACAATGAGTATTTAGACCTATAGATATCATAGATGGGTATCACATGATGGTTAATGTCAACAGAATTTTGACGTAGGATTGATCGAGTAGATAAAGATATGAAACTTTATGTTATCGTGCAACATAACCCATTTGCAGCTGATTTTGGCAATGATGCCTTCCACAGATTCCAATTTGGTCATTCTATTGCCTTCTGGTTTAATGGGTTGTATGGTTAAGTTGTACCTGTTAGATTTACTAATGCTCGAGCCCAAAAGTGGGGATTAGGGATAAAGTGTGGTCCGATTGGAAGTCTCGAGTAGGTTATATGATACATCTGTTTCCGCCTTGCCACTGTCTTGCATTTGGCTAAATTTTTGTTCTTGATGATTTATGGGTTGGATTAATTGGAAAATGCAGGATTTTCTTTAGTTCTTTCTGAAACCTACCAAAAGCTGGTTTTTTGTATTTATTAATCTAATAAAAATCCTCTTGTAATATAATAGTAATAAAGCAAATGATGCTTACTTGTTGGCTTTCTGGGTAATAATTATAATCAATCTTGTAGCTTTCTGAGGGTTCCTCACTTCTTAACTTCATGGGTTTTCTTCATCTCGACTGTTTGTATTTTTCTGGATAAAAAAAGAATTATTCATATCAAGCAATAATACCCTCTTGAGAAAAGATCTTTTCTTAAGGCAGTGGGAAAATTAGGAGGAAATGACTAAGGGGCTGTTTGGTAGTTGCTGAATGGTTTAGTGCAGAATGATTAAGTGGTCGGAATGATTAAAGAGACTATCATGATATAGTGCAAAATAAAATATAATTGTTTGGTAATTGTTTACAATGAAATTAGGGCGCTGAATGGTTAAGGGAGACCCATGATGCAAAATCATTCAGAGGTTTTTAGAACCATTAAGAGGCAAGACTTTTCTTTTGCCAAACAAGATTCACCTCTTAACGATTCAGATGTTACCTCTTAATAGTACTATTAAGAGGTAAACAAACAACCCAAAACTTTATAGTAGATTAGTAGTTCTTGTGTCACACTGTAAGTCTTTTCTTTTCGGATATACATTTTATAAACTCTTTGGTTACATTATTTGGGGAAATTAATAGAAATAGCCATTTTCAGGGACCAAATTCATCTCTTAGCCATTTCTCTTCGGAATTTTCAAAAATATCACTACCTTCGCAAGTGGCACTTTCTTGACTTGCGGAGGAGCTAAAAGACCCAAAATTCAGAGGTGCCACTTGCGAAATGGATGAAAAGTGATCTTTTTTTCAATTCTCACCCACTTGCGGATGTGCCACTTGCGGATGCGGATGAAAAGTGAATTTTTTTTGTCTCTTAGCTACCTCCGCAAGTCATGGAGGTGCCACTTTGCGGAGTCTTTTAGGAACCTCCTGAGAAAAATGGGTGAGAGATGAATTTGATCCCTGAAAATGGCTATTTCCGTGCTATTTGCCAAAAAAATACCTGTGTTGCCACTTTGACGTAAGTGATTTCATTGCAATGGTTGTTGATGCAATGGAATGACAAATCAATTTGTTCAATGACGGAAGTGATTTCATTTCGCAGATTGTTATTATCACATTTACACTTTTCAAAGGTCTTGTTTGCTTTAAATTAGTTGTCGATTGCACTGGGATCAGGTCCTCTTGTTATTTCTGTTGGTTGTCTAAAGTTCTTACTTTGCTACCCTTTTGAAAACCGACAGTGAAACCACAAAAAGTGTGCTGATTGCTTCCACATATATACATCTGAAACGTAACGAGTTTGTGAAGTATGCCTCAGATCTGCCCACTTTGTGCCCAAGAATACTCTTAGCCGGTCCAGCAGGTACGCCCTTTAAGATCCGTTTACATCAAAGGACATAAGTTCTTGTTTCTTCACTCTTTATCATCGTATTTTATGCCCATGCAACGCAGGTTCAGAAATATACCAGGAAACCTTGACAAAGGCTCTTGCAAAACATTTTGGTGCTAGGCTGCTCGTTGTTGATTCTCTATTGTTACCCGGTGTAAGTCTTTTTTCTGTCCAATTACGGGATGGATAAACTAACATGAATTAACTAAAGAAAAAAAATAAATACAAGGGAAATGACCGATTACCTAGGGTGTGTTTGGTATAATGAACAGGACAGAAAAGACCAGAGATCACTGTTCCACGTTTGGCATGACTCTTGTGTGGAACAGACGGAAACAGAGTGAAACAAAGTGGAATAGGTGTGTTCCACCCCCACCTCATGGAACAGGGTGGAGCAAGGTGGAAGAGATCTATATTTTACCAATATAACCTCAAAATAAAACCTAATTTTCTTCTAAAATGTCAAACGATCTTCCTCTTCACATTTTATTCTTTCTAATGATATATTTTGTTAGAAAAAATATTTACGTTATTAAATTAATAAATTACATAAATTAATCAAAATGTATGAACAACTCATTAGGGGTAAATTGGTCATTTTCTCTGTTCTGTTCTGTCCAGTTCTACCTTACCAAACGCTGAACAACTGTTCTGTCTAATGCTTTTTGGATACATGGATGGACTAACATTAATCAACTAAAGAATAACATTTTAGGATGGTTATATCGTAAGTGCATCTCTAGATATACTTATTTGTCACAATTCTTGGTTACACTTTATCTTGTTGCCATGCTTAATCCTTTTTCCTATACCAGGGATCAGCTGCTAAAGAAACCGACACTTCACTAAAGGAGAGCGCTAGGCCTGAAAGAGCAAGTGTATTTGCTAAACGTGCTCCACAAACAGGGGTTATGCACTCTAAGAAACCAACATCAAGCGTCGAGGCTGATATAATCGGTGGATCTACCACATGCTCTCAAGCTCAGCCAAAACAAGAGGCATCTACTGCATCATCCAAAAGCTACACTTTCAAGAAAGGTACCTTTCTATACAAAGTTTTTGTGGTTCTATTTCACATTGAGCTCTAGAAGATGCCCGTTCTACTGGGGTGTGTTTGGTATCCAGATAGGACTATCAGAACAGTTGTTCAACGTTTGCTAAGACAGAATTGGACATGGTAGAACAGATAAAATGACCGATTTACCCCTAATGAGTTGCTTATACATTTTGATTAGTTTAATGCAATTTATTAAATTATATTAAAATAAATATTTTGATATAAAATATATCATTTGAAAGTTTACGGTAAGACGATTAAAACGACGCCAAAATAAAAAGTTCATGTAGTTTCCAATTTTTTATTTTTTTATTGTTTTATATTATTAATATTTAATAAATTACATAAATTTATCAAAATATAGAATCCGTATAAAAACAATATTATGAAGACAGTAAAGTGAAAGTTTAAGAAGCATAAAATACGATAAATAAAATCTAAAGAATGAATAAAATGTAAAGAGGAAGGCGTATTTGATGTTTTAGAAGAGAATTAGGTAAAACATAGTTTGAGAACTGTCGATTTATGCAGGTGATAGAGTTAAATATGTGGGTTCGTTGCCATCTGGCTTTTCTCCTTTGCAGACTCCCTTGAGGTATTTCACTAAAACACAAAATGAATTTTTTGATTTTTTTTGCAAGTTTTACCGAGTACTCATTTTTCTTTTTGTATTCATTAGAAGAATGATCGAACTTTGTAAGGTTCTTATGTCGTCTATATGCTTTACTTTCTTTGCGTTTTATAGGGGCCCCACGTATGGTTATAAGGGCAAAGTCCTACTTCCATTTGAAGAGAATGGCTCTTCCAAGATTGGAGTTAGATTCGATAGGTCAGTTCAAGAAGGCAATGATCTTGGAGGAATTTGTGAGGAAGATCATGGCTTTTTCTGTTCAGCTGATTCACTTCGTCTTGATTCTTCGAGTGCTGATGACATTGAGAAGCTTGCAATTAACGAACTTTTTGAGGTGAGACTGGACAAATTTTCTTTCTTTGCAACTTAATGAGCTTAATGGGACTCACAACTTATTTGGTCAACTATACATGACTGTTTGGTTGTGGCTAATTGATATAAAAAGTAGCTTATTCAGTAAGATTCTAGAAGGAGCTTTATGCAGAAAGCTAATTTTTTCTTTTCCAAACATGCCCCTCCCAATTAAAACACACACTTCTTTCATGTATGGAAAAACTTCCCCAACCAATAACCTTCTCAATATATACACACAAATTAATCCACACAGACAGCCTTACCCATACAGGACTTTATCGAAAACCAACCAAACAGGACATGTTTGTTAGCAGCTTAATGAGCTTAATGGGACTCGCAGTTTATTTGGTCAACTATACATGACTGTTTGGTAGTGGCCAATTGATACAGAAAGTGGCTTATTCAGTAAGATTCTAGGAGGAGCTTTATGCATAATGCCAATTTTTTCCCCCAAACATGTACCCTCCCATTTAAAAAACACTCTCCTCCCATCTGTGAAAAAACTCTCCCAAACAAAAACCCTCTCATTATATGTAGACAAATTAATCCACACAGACAGCTTTATCCATACAGGACTTTATGGAAAACCAACCAAATAACCCTAATGATTTTACCTACGCAGAGTCGTATACTTTATCCGTTAACATACAGAAATTTGGCGAATTTTTTCATGGTCTCTTTTAATCGCTCTTTTGTGTATATGTTTAGTTTTTTTGTAATTAAATGTGAATCTTTTCTCATGGGTTAATTTCAATAGTTTATCTTTTCTATGCAGGTTGCTGTTAAAGAAAGTAAAAGCAGTTCATTGCTTTTGTTTGTGAAAGATATCGAGAAATCGATGCTTGGAAATCCCGAGGCCTATGCTTCTTTCAAGAGTAAGCTCGAGAACGTACCTGGGAATGTGGTTGTCATTGCATCACACACTCAGATGGACAGCCGAAAGGAGAAAGTAAGTAGTAATTGTTAGAAATTCTTCTTAAATCAAGTTCTCTTTTTACTATCATCGTAATCGACATTCATGAAATTTAATCATCTGACTTCCACAAATTTTGCAGTCTCATCCTGGTGGATTACTATTCACGAAGTTTGGGAGCAATCAAACGACATTGCTTGACTTGGCTTTCCCGGTATGCAATCGATAATTTGCTAACCTTTTTCACTTCATTTCACTTTGGTTTATTTATTATTTTGGAGTTGTTTTTCAATTTCATCCCTCCATGATATGATAAGTGACTTATTCAGTTAGCTTATAGGAGAGAGCTTTATGCATAAAGCCAAGTTTTTTCTAAACCTGCCTCTTCCAATTAAAAAAATACACTCTTCAATTAATGAAAAACCCTCCAAACTAAAAAAAGCCTTCCCAATCTATACAGACAGATTAATCCACACAGACAGCTTTATCGATACAAGACTTGCTGAAAAACCACCAAACAACCCCTTAGACGGAGACCGTTTCTAACGTAATTTTGCTAAAATATGGTGCAGGATAGTTTTGGTAGACTACATGATAGAAGCAAAGAAACCCCCAAGACGATGAAGCAACTCACTCGTCTTTTTCCTAACAAAGTGACCATACAGATTCCTCAAGTAAGTGAAATCCGCGTTTCTTTATATCCCGTTTCATAAAATTTTGTGGGTCTCGGTTAATTCTCATGAATCTTTGTAGGACGAGTTGCTACTTTCCGACTGGAAGCAACAACTGGATCGCGATATAGAGACCTTGAAATCACAGTCAAACATTATCAGCATCCGTTCAGTGAGTACCACCGTCTTGTATGGCTTATTTTTAATTATTATTATATCTGTTTTTCGTATTTGGTTCTGATTTCTTGATTTCAGGTTCTGAACCGAGTCCGACTTGAAAGCTCCAACCTTGATACACTCTGCATAAAAGATCAAACTTTGACGAATGAAAGTGAGTACATTTCTTGGCTGTTTCTGATTGTTGTGGGTTTTCGTTCGACTTCTATACTTTATTTTGACTAATATTCGCTCTTTTTTGACGTTTAATAGGTGTGGAGAAAGTTATTGGATGGGCTTTGAGTCATCACTTTATGCAGAGTTCTGAAGCTTCTGTAAAGGATGCTAAACCTGTGATTTCTAACGAAAGGTATTAGCATCATTTAGGTCATACGTTATTTATAGAGGAAGGGGTTAACAAAACCTAAAATTGATTAGGAACCCGGAAATCGCTCACAACGCGACACGTGTTATTCATCAGGAATGTAGACGTGTTACTCATTATGAATGTTGTAACTTATTGATCATGACGTGCGATTCATAATGAATAACACTTTCATATTCATCACGAATGTGGGATTTATGATGAATAACACTTCTCTATTCATCATGAATGTGTTATTCATGATGAATATTCATCCTGAAGAGGGACACATGGCGCGCTGTGTGCGGTTCCTGGGTTCCTAACCAATTTTGGGTTTTTAACGGAAATTCATTTAGGAATTTTAAATATTTTGAGAACTGTGAGAACCCAACTATTCATGATAAATATACCTATATATTCATGAATGTACTATGGTATTTGCTTGCTTATTTTTCTATTTTATGTTGTCGATTACAGTCTCGAGTATGGGATCAACATACTACAAGGTACTCAAAACGAGACTAAAAGTTCTAAGAAGACACTGAAGGTGAACGAACATTATGGATGCATCTTTTAATCGTATCGTTAATCTAATGATTATCATTTTTGTAAATTCTGAGGTAAATATCTCGTAAAATTTCAGGACGTGGTTACCGAAAACGAATTTGAAAAGAGACTTATTGCTGAAGTTATCCCGCCTAGTGACATTGGTGTTACCTTTGATGACATCGGAGCTCTAGAATCCGTGAAGGACACTTTAAAAGAATTGGTGATGCTTCCTCTTCAGAGGCCTGAATTGTTTTGTAAAGGGCAGTTAACGAAGGTAAAAAAAGCAAAAGTATTTTCATTAATCCAATTCTACCCTTAATTGGGAGATGAATAAATTCATTACTCTCTCTGTTATTAAGGGTAAAATCGTCATTTTGTTAATTAAAAATTGTGATACTTACGAATTTCTAGAATTGTATGTCTTTTTCGTTGTGGACATTTAATTTGGGATGGTGGGTGTATTATTTTTCGTTATATATACGGAGAAAGATATGACGATTCTTTTTTGCAGCCTTGTAAGGGAATCTTGCTCTTTGGACCACCGGGTACGGGTAAAACAATGCTTGCAAAAGCTGTTGCAACTGAGGCGGGTGCAAATTTTATCAACATATCGATGTCAAGTATCACTTCAAAGGTACTTTATTGAGTACGGATCCTTATCAAGGCTATGTTTGGCAAACTAGCTGTTGGCTGATAGGCTAGCCGTTTGGCTGATAGGCTAGCCGATGGCTGAAAGGCTAGCTGTTGGCTGATAAGCTACCTGATAGGCTAGTTGTTGGCTGATAGGCTAGCTGATATACTAATCATGCTTGGCAAAAACTAGACGATAAGCTAGATGACGATATGAAATGTGGCTTTTTCAATAAGCTCAAAAAATAAGCTAGCTTATGGTTGCAAAACATGGCTTAAATTTTTTAAGTTTCAATAAGCTCAAAAAACAAGTTAGAACGTAATTGATCTCCGTGATGCTTGTTTGTAGTGGTTTGGCGAAGGAGAGAAGTATGTGAAAGCGGTTTTTAGCCTTGCTAGTAAAATATCGCCAAGTATTGTTTTTGTCGACGAGGTTTGTATTTTTTTTTTTTGGAATAATTTTCGGTATTTCTTTTATCCTTTTTGGGTTTAAATCTTATTTTTTATATTATTTAATCAATAGGTCGATAGCATGTTGGGAAGACGGGAAAACCCCGGTGAGCATGAAGCAATGCGTAAAATGAAAAACGAGTTTATGGTGAATTGGGATGGTTTACGTACAAAAGATAGAGAACGTGTACTTGTACTCGGTGCAACCAATAGGCCTTTTGATCTTGATGAAGCGGTGATCAGGCGACTACCTCGTAGGTATGAAAATGACAACTTTACCCTTTATCGGTGCAACCAATAGGCACACAGTTTTAAAATGTGTAATTATTTCTCCCTCCGTTGCAAAAAATAAGTGTCGACAATAGAAACGACCCAGTTTTAGACATTAATAATGATCGATGGTGTAATGGATTTCTCCATCTCATAATTAAGGATAGAATTGGAAATTAGGCACTTACTTTTGAAAATGGACACTTAATTTGGCAAAGAAAACATAAATATAAATGTGGGCACTTATTTGGGGACGGAGGGAATACATTTTTTAATCAACTAAATGACAATTTTACCCTTGATGACCGAAGGTGTAATGAGTTTCTCCATCTCATAATTAAGGGTAGAATTGGAAATTGGGCACTTATTTTTCCATCTCATAATTAAGGGAGAATTGCAAATTAGAGACTTACTTCTGAACGTGGACACTTACTTTCGAAAGAAGAAAGCCGTTAACTCTATTTTTGGAGGGGTATGCTATGAACTAATGGAACCATTGTCGGTTTTCCGTTGCAGGTTGATGGTAAATTTACCCGATGCCGCAAACAGGGAGAAAATCTTGAGAGTGATATTGGCAAAAGAGGAATTGGCACCTGATATGGATCTTGAAGCAGTGGCTAATATGACTGATGGCTATTCTGGAAGTGATTTGAAGGTCTTGTTGTTCTCCTCCATCTTGCTAGATTTGATATATATATATATATATATATAGGGTTGGGTTCACGTGAGACCAACCTGTTTTTGTGAGACCCTTTTTTACACTTAAAACTTCACAGCAAAACTTGTGAAGGTAAAAAAAACCCGAATCTTGCTGTGAAGTTTCAAGTGTAAAAAAATGGTCTCACAAAAACAGGCTGGTCTCACAAAAACAGGCTGGTCTCACATGATCCCAAGTCTATATATATATTGTATCCATTTTTTTTTCGGTTTTTGAGAGTTTGGTTATCGGTTTTTCAGAATCTTTGCGTGACGGCTGCACACTGTCCAATTAGAGAAATTTTGGAGAAGGAAAAGAAGGTTTGCTTTCTCGATTATAATAATTATGTATTTCTAAAACTGTGTTTTTTCATTGTGGACGTTTATTTTTGGGAGGGGGGAAGAGTTATTTTTTGAAACATTTGAAGGAAGTTTTACGTCGTTGAAAAAAACTATTAACGTATCTTCCTGAACGTGCTAAATTGTTATTATTATTATTCAGGAGCAAGCGTTGGCATTGGCGGAAAATAGACCAGTACCTGCTTTGCATAACAGTGCGGACGTTCGTCCTCTAAATTTGGACGATTTTAAGTATGCACATGATCAGGTATAACGACGGTCAATTTTTTCCTATCGTAAATGTGAAAATATGTGGAACCCCTGAATTGATCCTCTAAAAGAGAAGGAAGGGAGGTTCCAATATATATTCAACAGAAGTAGCCCAAGCGTAGTTCATGTGAGACTTTAAAACGCCCCCTCCAACGAAGGCTAGAGGGGGCTAGCCTAATACAGATCGCCCCCGAGTGCCGAGTCTCTAGAATGGCATACCCTGACTGATACCACGTGAGAATATGTGGAACCCCAGGTTAATCTCCAATACAGATTGCCCCAAAGTGTACGAGTCTCTAGAGTGGTAGACCCTGACTCTGATGCCATGTGATAACATATGGAACCACTAATTAATCTCCATGTTATAATATACGGAATCACTAGTTAAGAACGAATGTTCCAACTTATATCAAAGAGAAATGGTCCATGTCTAGCTGATACAAGACTCTATCAGTAGTAAATTTACACCAAAACGGTAAAATTCTATATTTTATGAAATGCAGGTATGTGCAAGTGTATCATCGGAGTCCGCAAATATGAACGAGCTTCTGCAATGGAATGAACTATATGGGGAAGGCGGATCCCGGAAGAAAAAACTCCTCAGTTATTTCATGTAGACGATGATTTCAAGTGTATAGCCGTGCCTTTTTTTTTAACGACTAGTTTGAGATAAAAGACTTAGTTTTCTTTTTCCGTCATAAAATCCAATCTATAGGACCTGTATCAATGGAAATTCCGTTGCAGGAAGAGTTTTTTTTTTTCCGTTTCGCCCCCGTCCCCGAGTCTACGCCCCCATGTGTATTATATATTTAGTTTATGGCTGCTTTTGAGTCGAATTATTTCGCCATTCTTAATCGCGTATTTAATGTATTGTATAGACTAACTAATTTACTTCATTATGTTTGTTTCGTTTATATGTTATTATATGGTCGATGTTTGATATATGTATTTAGTTAGATAGCCAAATGGGCCCTGTCACCAGTCCCGGAACTGGTGCGGGACCGATTGTTTTCGTCGGTTGAAGAGCGGTTACGGTTTTCGTCAAAAAAACAAGGTTTGGTCCCTATTTTCAAAAAATAGCCGTAACTTAACGTCACCGTTTTTTTTCTTTCCCAATTTGACTTTTTTTTATCTCATTACCGTCTGTTTTTACACCATATATAAGTCATATGGTATATGGGGTAAGATACCAACTTACAAACGTAAAAAAAACATTTACAACTCACTCTATAATTCGTGTATTTGATTGAAAACAAATTACAAATTATAATAAAATGTATTTTTAAGTGTATTTGATCGGCTTCATTAAATTTTCTAGTATATATTATATTAACATTTATGTATTCTTTAAGAAAATTAAGTTAAAAATCGAATTAATAAAAAATTACATTGGATGTTTGGGTTGGGCCCGGTCCTGGGACTGGTTCTCATGACCGGTTACAACGTATTTTAACCGAAACTTCATAGCAAAACGCTATGATTATGAATGTAGCCTTCACAGTGTTTTTGTTATGAAAGTTCAACTTTTTTTTATCTACACAACGTTTTGTTGTGAAGTTTAAAATATAAAAAAAAATGGTTTCACGGATCTCACGAAAACATGCAGTTCTCACGTGAACCCAACCCTGTAATTTTTGAATTTTTAAGAGATACAAGTTTTTAGACTAAATGCATAAATTTTAAAGCTTACAAAACCTCGTACGTCTTACATCTATTGAAAATAGAATCATTTTTAATTTCTAAGTTATATTTTATACCCTTATAATTAGTTATTTAATTTACTTTAAGTCTCTTACTTTTTCATTGTTAATTTTACAACCTTATCATATTAACATAAATAATCGTATATGAACTAAAATGCATTAAAATATACATTTCTTTTTTTACAAATTATACCATGATAACTGTTTCGTTAATACATTTAAAATTAGCCTAATAATGAATATTTTTAGAATTAATCATATATTAGAAATCATGAATACATACGAATTAATTTGTTTTATACAAAATGTTTTTTTTTTACACATTATATCATTATAATTTTGGATAGTTTTAATTGCTTAACTTTTATTGTCATACAAAACTAGGGTTGATAATGAGGCAGGCCAAGAACTGAACTCGATGAGGGAAAGCGTCTTTCTTTTTCTGGGGGTGGCAAGGGCCGACGAAGGGGGGAAAACTATAGCTTCGCAGTGACAACCTTGATCGAATGTGGTTCACCGGGTTCTACCACTTCAGGTCCCAGTCTTTGGTGTCGGATTGGGCACCAAAACAGGAAACCCAATCGGATTTTCGGGGGGGGGGGTGATGGAACCCGAAACCCACAAATGTTAGATAGACCCGCGGTTATGGAACCCGAAACCCAACTTCTTGTCTATTCCAGATTTTTTAGCTTCTTGTTGAAATCTAAGTGAGTAACAAAATGATTAAATGACTTCGTAATTTTGTGATTCCTATAACAAATGTCAATACCAAACTAACGAAAGGGTCGTGGCTGGTGGTATCGCCTCTCGTGGACTGAGGTCGAAGTTCGAATGAGGAAGTGAGGAGGAAGTAGAATACCCAACTCGATTTGACTTACCCGAGAAAAAATATCAGGTTTCAGGTGTCGGTTTTAATAGGTTTCAGGGTCGGACTTTCTGCAGTTTTCGGGGCAGGTTGGATCGGGTATTTTGGGTATTGCTCACCCCTATACAAAACATTGTACAAATTTTGAGCATGCATAAATTTATCATTGTTATTTTGGATCTTATTAAAACTAAACCAAACAAACCAACCCAATATATTTCAGTTGTATGACGATCCTTCCTCCACCTCTTAGTTTTTGAAAATGCTAAACTAGTAGACCTTATTGCAAGGTCTAAATGTTGAAAATGTTAAACCAATATTCAAATTTATGCTTACAACAGATGTCAAGTCCTGCTTTGAAAAAACATTTAGTATTCATTTTGACTGGTTGAAAAAAATAGATGGTACATACCATTATTTGGCTGCTATTATGAAGAAACTCACATGCTCGAAGATTCGATTCTTTTGACCAAAAACCAAGAACCTGGATTACCTTATTGAGTTGGTGAAGGAAGGAAAACTTAGACATGTAATCGACTCAGCCGAAACGCGGAGAGGTTTGGGCCAAGAGCATCATGTTCTTATATCTTATACTATATTATAAAGCATTTGACTAAAACTCTTAAAAACTCTTAAACTCTTAAAACTCTTAAAACCGTTCATCCCTATCCGATTTCATCCTATAACTGAATTCGTGTAACTAACTGCAGATAAACACAATCAAATACAGGATAAACATCT